AACTGCCGCAGTCATTAATCCCACTTACTCACCTATCTTTTATAATTCCCATATTAATATGGTCTTCTACATATGCTGAAACTTTGGCTATAGCCGAAACTATCACAATACCTACCCAACCCACGAACAAAATCCTCATTCGAACAGACAGTCAGGCGGCCTGTCGGGCTTTTCGAGACGTCACCCTCCTCCCCGAAATATTTGATGACATCCAAGAATTTCTGACTAACAATCCCGCCTTCGAGGTGATTCTCCGGGGGTTCCGGGTCACTCCGGCATTCAGGGGAATGAGGCAGCCCAGGCCTTGGCCTGGATGGATGGATGGATGAATGCGGCTGAGCCCTTTGGATCGGGCGGTAGCTTATGCCACCTAGCCAATTTGTTTTACCATTTAAGCTTAGAATATTTAAATGTGAAATTATACTCACTCCGCACTGCAAAGAAAGTGGGGCTATAAAACCCCCTTGCCATCAGTTAATAATAAAATACCTAGTTTTCCCTCGCTTTCTGCCACCATTCACTTAATCTTTGCTTGGTAATCCCTACAGTCTTGAAATCCACTCTCCCTTCACTGTCTCTAAAACCCAATGACTTTATTAAATCCATGTTGTCTTCAGTAGGCATAGGGCCCTTTACAGTAGATTATCAAGTGCTCAGCCGTCTCGTCCTCCTCTCCACAAGCAGTGCACACTGTATCCATTTCCTGGTACCTCGCTCTGTATGTTCTGCTTCGCAGAACACCCGTCCTCGCCTCAAACAACAATGAGCTTCCCTTAAAATTGTCATAAATGCTTTCTTTGGCAATAACTGTTTTGTTTAATCTATAGCTTTCCAAAGCCGTCTTTGTCTGCATTCCGTCTAGCCACCGATCTCCTTCTGTGGCCCTAACTTTCTTCTTAACTGAGACCTGCTCTTCCGTATCTCCACTATAGCCAAAAACTTTCCTCTTAATTTCCTAGTGCGCTGTCTCCACTTTGTGTCTATGCTCCTCATGTATAAATAGCTGAAAACCTTTCGTGCCCATTGGGCAGTATTTGCATGGGCAATTACAAATCTAATTACATTTCCAAAAAAGCATTTAAGTACAAGATACAAATACAACCAAATGTATTTGGTCTCCTCCAAATACTTTTCCAAATAATTTCCTCAAAATTTGCGTCAGCAACTTCAGGTCACCTGCAACGGGTTTCTGGGTACCTCCTTTTAATTTCGCATCGCACCCTCGGCAATTAGTGTGCGAGTCTCTAGCAACGTAATAGAAATATAAACACAAAAAAAAATGTAATCAGCTTGGACGTAATAGGGGAAAAAAGTACAGAGCTTCAAGCAGCCTTTTTTTGTCGATTACATTTTGGTATAGACCAACAAAGAACCGAGACGACCAAGACGCGCAGCATTAGCTAGAGAATTTTTTATTGTTGCAACTCGCACCAGTTACGAAAATCTGGATGACCCGCACATTTAGAATGTTCCAGGCAAAAATATGGATGGAAATCAGTCTGGAAAGCATCACAATTTGTCACAAGCACTTATTTAGCCAGTCTGTCTGTGAACATCGATTTCGTCACTATTCTTGCCCTTGACTAGCACCGTAATCACAAAGTCACTAAACGCTTTTGCTTGATTGAGAGACACTGCATTCGGTGCAGAACGTAGTTTTCTTCCTGCTCTGGGCAGTGACAATAAATTTGAGGGATGTTTTTTCGGCCAAAAAATTGTATTTAATTACAATTGTATTTGAAATACCCACATTTTAGTATTTAAATACACATGTCAAATACATTACCAAATTTGTAATTAAATACGAATGCAAAATACACAGAGTATCTGAACTACGTATTTTAAATACTTGTACTTGAAGTACTGCCCATCCCTGACGTGATGCTTATTTAAATATTTAATTTGAGATATTCATCTGGACATGTTACGGCTAGCGCTACAAGCGCGCCTTTTGATATATTTGATTGCAATTCTGTAGAACTGAAGAAACTCCAGAAAAAAAAATGAGCTCCGTAGATTTAAAAAATTGGATTTCCCTAAATAAAAATAATCATGGTGCATTTTTTTTTCATGTTTGCACGTTGTTTGGCGTAGTGTTTTGAGCATGAGCAGATGGTTTGTTACTATACAGTGAAGTCCGTGTTGTCCTTCTTTTAATATTTTAAATATTTATTACGCAATTTTTGCAGGTCGTATTGCGGTGTTTGCTTTTACTAAAGGAACTTCTAAATACCTTTAGTAGAAGGTTAGAAGTACCTTTAGAGGTACTTCTAACCTTTAAGCCGGGGTCATACTGCTTATACATTATACACAAGACAGTCTGCAGGTATTTAAATGTAAACATTTTCGACGGACATCCGTCTGGTTAGGAATGATTAATAAATCTTCAACTTAGAAACTCTAACCAAGCTTTATTAAAAAGCAAAAATCCCGACGTTTCGGAACCAACTCGGTCCCTTGATCACGGGTGACTGTTTTTGTCCCGCGGAACGGCCTGCCCACGAACCCGAACACCCCCGGGTGTTTTCCGGATTATCCCTCTTAACCCCGAAACGTAGCTGCTGGGAAGGGTCCCCGTCGACCGGTTTATGTTGCCACGTGTGCATTGAATGTGCCACGACTCCAACAGGAGGCGCCTCCGCCAGTTTTTCTCCGTTCCGAGGATGGAGCTGTTGTCAAGGTCGATGGAGTGGTTCGTCTTCTCGACGTGTTCGGCCAGCGCGCTTCCCTTCACATTTTTCTTCGCGATGTCGTAGCGGTGGCGCCGCAGGCGCTCTGGATAGTTTTTCGTTTCCCCAACGTACGACGCGGGGCAGTCACCGCAGGGAATTTTATAAACCAGTCCCTGTGCCCTCTCCCTCGGGGGGCGATCCTTTGGCAGGGGGAGAAGGCCGCCGATGGTCGAGACTGGCTTGTGTGATACCGCTATGCTGTACTGTCGCAGTACTCGGGCGAGAACCTCGCTTGTGCCCTTGATGTAGGGTACACACACGCGGGTGGAGGGAGGGGGGGGCGTCTTGGGTTGAAGGGGTGCGTCGAATTTTTTTGATCGTGCTTTTTACAAATCCAGCTGGGTAGCCATTCTTCCGCAGGTCTTGTTTGATCGTTTCAATCTCTTTTCGAAGGGTCTCCTCTGATGTGCAGACCGTGATCGCCCGTCTGACGAGTGCCGAAGCCACGGAGGACTTATGTGTCCTAGGGTGGCTTGAGGAAAAGTCCAGGTATCGACCTGTGTGTGTCGGCTTCCTATACACACGGAAGTCCAGGCGGCCGGACTTTCTCACTGCACAGACGTCTAGGAAAGGGAGAGAGCCAGCTGATTCGTGCTCAATCGTGAATTGAATCGCTGGCTCGATGGAGTTGAGATGTGTGTGGAGACGGTCGATCTCACTGGTCTTTACAACACAAAAGCAGTCATCGACATACCGCAGGAAACACACGGGTCCTGGAGAGAAAGTGTCCAGGGCTTTTCTCTGGATCGCCTCCATTACGAGGTTTGCCACAGTGACGGAGACCGCAGCACCCATAGCCGTACCACTGGTTTGTCTGTAGAAGCGGCCAGCAAAAGAAAAATAAGTGCTGGACAGGCAGAATTCCAGTAGACGGCAAATCTCGTCCACCTCAAGGCACGTTCTTTCGGAGAGTCTCGTGTCAGACGAGAGGGCCTCCCGCGTCACAGACACTGCGAGAGGCACAGGCACACTTGTGAAAAGCGACACGACGTCGAAGGAGACAAGGCTCTCGTCGTCCCGCAGTTCGAGGCCCGAAGTGAGCTGGATGAAGTGTCCAGAATTTTGGACGTACGTGTCGGTCTTCCCGGTTAAAGGCGACAGCAGTCGGTGGAGATGGTTGGACAACGCACGTAACGGAGACGTGGTGAAATCCACTATGGGTCGGAGGCGGACATCTGGCTTGTGCACCTTCGGCCGGCCATAAAAGGCCGGCGCTGAACCGTTCCGGCAAATGAGACCCAAGTAAAGGCCTCGGGACTCGGGATACCCATCATCAGAAAGCAGCCATTCAGAACTTGAGAGAAGACGAGAGCATCGTCGTCCTCCCTGCCGACAAGGGGAACGCAACCGTGCTACTCGACCGCGCGGACTACGATGAGAAGGCGCTTCAGCTTCTCAACACCGACGCATACATGATTCTGCCAAAGGACCCGACTGCCAAGATTCAGGCAAGTCTAAACAAAATGCTCTCTACGATTTTTGATGGGTATCCCGTTGCTGCCGTTGCACCGGTGGCACCGGTTGCGCCGTTGCCGTTGCCATGGCCACCGGCCCGGCGGCAAAGTCGATCGTAACGCCATATTTTGAGGCGGTGGAAACAAGAACCCTACGCTTGAGCGCAGAAAGAGCGCCCCGAGGGAACATGGATGCTAACGGCTGTACCCGTCCGAGTTGCCGGAGGGGGTGATCAACATATTTGACGTCATCGTGACGTCATCCTGACTCTTGGCGGCCTCTACCGAGGTTTCCTTGAACGCCGCTGGCTGCGTGAGCCACCGTAGGTTGATTGCTGCGTGGACCATGGCGTGGACGGATGAGAAGACGGAAAAAGAACTGCTTCCGTCCACGCAAAAAAGTGACGTGAGCGCCCGAAGTGACGTAGTGCGTGGATGGAGCGGATGGAGCCTTATCTCCTCCCGACATGGCTACATCCCCGCGCGTGGATGTAGACACTCCCTTCTTTCTCTCGTGTTCCGTCGCTCTCTTTTGCGATTGTTCACTCGGGACCCAGGATGTCGGCGCACGGGATTTGCCACTCCTCCTCACCCACCTTTACCCCCCTGGCTCGAATGGAACGGGCGGAGAAGCCTTCGCGCACGCGTCGGGATATCGGAGGCCATGACGCTACGAACAAACCTCCGCGAGGCAAACTAGGTGGCGCGAGCTAGCGTCCATTAAGAAGGCTACAGCCCTTTCTTTATCCAGTTATTTTCGCTGTTGGATCTGTTTGAACTTGCGCCCCTTGCGCCACTTGCGCTCTACTGCCCTATGCAGGTCTCGGGTTCTCGCGCAGGGGAGTGGATGGTTGGTTTTCCGTGTGCTGTGTGTGTTGATGCTGTGTATTCAGCTAGGGAGACGCTGTATTCGCACTCAAAAATACCACACTCTGACTTGACTACTCGGTATGTATGCGTTATTAACGGAGCACTGCGCTGGCTCGTTTTTATTCTTTTGAGCGAAACGAAAAGGGGCGAAGGTCTTCCGAAGGGGACGATCGGTGGGCTCCCGTTCGCAGATCATCATGGATCCGGCACTGCTCAGAGAAAGGGATGCATTCAAGAAACGAGCCATGGCCACGCCTGTGGTCGAGGCTCGGAAGAAAGAGCGAGACGCGCCTTCGAGTAACGCGGCGTCGCAGCCCAAGAAGAAGGCGAAGCCTCCCAAGCAGAAAGGTAGACGAGTGCGCTGTGCTCGCCATCCGCTCTTCATTCAAATCAACGCGACCCTTGCCTTCCAGACAGCTCGTACAACTACAAGACCACCTCCGGAAGCTCGCAGTATAACTTCAGCGTGTTGGCAAAGATCGTCAAGCACATGAAGGTAATGAAGGGGTTATAGGCAACCTTACAAGTTTCTTATGGGAGGTTTGGTCGTCGTATCTGGTTAACGTTCAGATCTCTTCTGGTTAACCTCCAGCAAAGGCACTTGGAAGGGGACACGCATCCCCTCAGTCTGGACGAGATCCTGGATGAGACGAATCAACTTGACATCGGGGCGAGGCAGAGGCACTGGCTTTCCACGGAGGTAAAGCACTCTTTTTGAGGGAAGACCACTCGGGGAGAACTGCCGTGTTTTGGTCTTAGTTGAGAAATATGCCCCTTGTTCTCACACCAAAAGAGTGCTCCAGACTCATATTTTGGGTAGTTGACATGTATTATTATTGTTACTTAATGTGTGTTAAGTAGTGTAAGCCTCTTAATTTTCTCGAAATTTTAGAAATTAAAGGGCACACTAATTGTTTAAGGCAGTCAGTAGCAAGATTACAAAGTCATTCCAAGCTGGAACTCAATTTTCGGTTGGTTCTCTGGAATACTTCGAAACTGAGTCACTAAAACAGCAATAAAAGGCATTCAAAGCCGATGTCTTAATCTAAGGTATAGCGTGTTGGTTTTATAACTGTGTAGTGATGGTAATGCCAAAATAGTTTTATGTTTGTCTCCAATATTAAGGTACTAGTCAAATGAACACCTATGACTTAACTTCCTTGATCTTTTGTAGGTAGTTAACTTCCTTGATCTTTCCTAGGGAGACTTCTTTTCCTTTATCAAACCTTCCTTTCAGTTACTTCTTTGAGAAGAATAGCCACATCTCCATTATGGCTACGATATTTCTTTGCTTTTTTGCAGCTTGTGCTACCTTGATACTGGTGGTCTTGTTTCACAGCAGCCGAAAAATTTTCAAAAATCAAGTGAACGAGTCGCATCATCAATGCTGTTCCAGTTTTCAATAGTTCGAGGAAAGAAAGAGAATTTAAAACAGTTAAGGTGACATTGATATGGTACAATGTTTAAGGGATGAGAATTACGAGTATGTGATTGAGTAGTGAAATCAATCTAACTATTACGGTCAAGTAAACTAATTATTGGCTATTTTATGTAGGAGCTTAAGACATTCAACTTTGCGTCTAGAAGCCAAGTACTCTAGTCCTACACCAAGCATGGATAAAGTGGGGGAAAACTTGCGGTCATAGCGGTTACAAATAAGTCTGATAGCTTTAGTCTGTATTGTGTCAAGCAGTGTAATGTCACCCTTAAAATACGGGTTCTAGACTGCATAGCCATGTTCCAAAATAGGTCTAATTAAGGTCTTATAAGTGGTTATTTTAACTTCTTTGGTTGAAGATTTCAAAGTTCTTTTAACATATCCCAGTTTTTGTAGGGCATGAGAACAAATGAAACTAATGTGACTGTCCCATTTAAGAGATGGGGTAAATAAAATTCCTAAGTACTTATATTCATAAACCTGATGCAGGATCACATTACCAATGCCATAACTAAAAACAGATGGCATCTTTTTGTTGGTGAATGACATAAACAGTCTTATCGAAGTTAATCTCCATCTGCCACTTCTTGCTCCAACTAAGAAATTCTGAGAATGAGTTATTTCGCATGTTATGATCCTGTACTGAATTGATCTCATTATATAAAACACAATCAGTTGCAACATTCTGATTTCACAAACTGTACACTGTATGTGCAGAGCTGTGGCATAGCAAGAGAAGAACTTACGGGACCTCAGCCGCCCCTACTCCACACCCCAAGTCAAAAACATCCCAACCACATGGAAAAAAAGATCTCTTGTTACGCCACTGGTGCAGAGGCACCCGTCTTTGAGTGTGTAATCTGTCGAAAAAGCCAATACATCCCGATTTCAGGGATAACTAAACTTTCTACAGACTTTGTTGCCCACTCCATTGTGTGACAAATGTTTGTGACTGGCCGAAACCATGTGTCCTCCCAGACACGTCACCCTTTGTGGTTATCAAATGCGTGCGTGTGTCAACGCAAATGTGTGTGCAGGCCCTTCAGAACAACCCCAAGCTCCAGGTGACGCCGGACAACAAGTACTGCTTCCGGCCCGCCTACAACCTGAAGGACCGCAAAAGCCTGCTGCGGCTGTTGGACAAACACGACCAGCGGGGCATGGGCGGGGTGCTGCTGGAGGACATTCAGGAGTCTCTGCCCAACGTTGAGCGCCACTTGAAGGCCCTCGGGGACGCCATCATCTATGTCGTCCGCCCCGTAGACAAGAAAAAGGTTCTCTTCTACAACGACAAGTCCCTCCAGTTCACCGTCGACGAGGGTGAGCATCCACGCCCCTTGATGCGCTCGGTAGGGCGGCTGTGCTTCAGGCAACAAGTTCTCAAACCGGGTTTCTAGGAACCGAGAGTGATAGGCTTCTGCAACAGCTTCCTTCACTTGTGTCCATGAAGGCGCCCCAAGTTCGTCGATTGGGTTAGTTGTCCCTCGACAGGCTGCGGTTCCAATCTGCTGGCACCTTGAAGCCACTCCTTTAGGACTGATATCAGGTTTATTGCATATGTACAGCAAGCAGATTGTTGAATCGCATTGGGGGTCTCTCCCCTAACAAAAGAATCTCGTGCCTTTATATAACGTTCACCCAAGGGCGAGTACGAGACGTCCGTCACGTAGGCCACTTGGCCCGCATGAAGCGAGCAGTATCATGTATTGCGGGAGCGTGCCACCAGCGCCGTTTGGGTGAGGCGTTCGTGGGCCATGGCTTGGGCATCTTGACATCTATGGCCGAGGAAGCGATGGGGTGTGTTGTCAGCCGCATCCAGTACGGTAGGCCAAGGCCGGAACGTGATGCCGCACACGTAGCACTTCCGAAAACTACACCAGCATTCCCCGGCGTGTGTGTGGTTGACATCATCGCATCCAAACCTTGAGGTTGGCGCCGGTGCTCGGTGCTGCGTCAATTTCGGGTGTTCTTTTGCCTGATGCTGCGTCTTGAGCAAGTGGCTTGAGCACAACGTGATGACCTTGCCGCCTCCAGCCATGCGCTTCCTCCATTTCAGGAGCTCCTGACAGGTGCGGTTGAGCCCGACAGATAGGGTATTATCAGTCGCAGTCGGGTTGCCCGGACAAGACACTTCTATTGAATACCAACTGTGGGATATTTTTATAGAGATGGCTCGATCCTTGTTATCCTCACAATCCAGCTATCTGTTGATCCTCCGCCTCGTCCTTTTGCAACGGGTGCCAATGGGAAATCTACTTAATTCTACAACACAAGGGGTTTCCAGAGTACTTTCGAGAGTTTCCTGAGCTCCAAAATTTTCTCAATCGTTCCTCCCTCAAAGGAAAGTGTTCTTCAGTTTGAACATTTTTTTTTTTTTTTTTAAGATCTGAGCCACCCACCGATGCGTAACTATGTGTCACAAACTCCCTAGCATGTGCATTATTGATCGCAAGGTCTGTAGGTTTCTGGACTACTCTAGTTCATCAGTGCCGAGACCAGAAGGGTTGCCTTGGGAACATACTGCAGGCCAGAGGCTGGCCCAAGGAGGAGTGGAAATAACAAGTAAAATACAAGTAAGCACTTTCGAAACCAAAAAAAAAAGCACATGGATATACATATTTGAGGCACATACCAAAAAACGCAATACAGGGGAGTGACATGCAAAACACTAACATGCAAGATATTTTATATGAAAAAAGTAAGCACATCTACCGTAAAATACTGGGCAAGCGCCCACTTAAAATTTAGAGATAATTGCAAAAAAATGGGGGATGGGCGCTTTTCCGGTCTGCAGTTTTACTTATAAATGTACTGTGCATATTTTCTCAGATCTTAGAAATTTGGATATGGGCGCTTAATGTGGAATGAGCGGATGCGCGGTATTCTACAGTAAGTAAAATAACTATCAATGGCATCACAAAAATCGGTAGCCCCAAAAATGCTAGAAGTTAGAGAGTTTTATTCCAAGATGGTATGGGGAAAGAAGGAAAATTTGAAACAATTAGTGTGTGTAAAGATTGGTGTTAATGAATATTGAATATGGTGCCTCGTAGGTCGTGACATTAACGGGATGAGGTGACTATGTATGTCAAGCCGTACATTGTTTCGTACCATAAGCAATAAATATGTTACCCTGGAAAGCTTCCTACGCAGATCAAGTGTAGCTATGCCATCCGTTTTCGTAGGGTGCGATAAAGGGTCTAACCTTTTAATTTTTCCATAAATGAATCCAACTTGGAACCATTTCCGACTCAAAAATGTTCTTTTTAGTGAAGGGAACCCAGATAAGGCTGGCGTATTCAAGTTTCGGTCGCACAAAGGTGTTATAAGCTGAAAGTCTGACACTAGATGGTGTTTTCATTAGTTCGCGTCTAAGGAAACCAAGTTTACAGAATGTGGATGAGCAGATGTTATCGATGTGTGTATCCCATGAGAGAGGTTTAGAAATTGTCAGCCCTAGTTACTTATACTCCGAAACTTTGTGCACAGGGGAGCTACAGACATTGTAAATAAACTCAAGTGGAAATATTTTGTAAATAACCCGTAATTAAATAGTTTTTTTTTTTTTTAATTTAGTTTTATTTGCGATATGGCACACCAATCTGCAATTTTTGAAAGTGAAGAGTTTAGTGCATACCGGCCATATGAAATTGTTATATATTTGAACAGATCACTATCATCCACAAAAAGTCTAATGCTTACACTTTTATCGATGACTGCCACAATGTCAATGTATATCAGAAATAACAAAGCCCTAGAACGTTGCCCTGTGGTACTCCCAAAGATACACGCAACCCACTTGGAAATTCTTCTCCAATATCAACTAACTGTTTATGCCCTTGTAGGTATGATTTAGTTCATTTACAACAGGAATTGGAAGACCAACATTTTCTAATTTAAATACTAATTTTTTCTGAGGGTCTCTGTTAAAGGCTTTACTGAAATTCAAGAATATGATGTCCACCTGACCAGATTTATCGAGAGCAGCTGCGAAGTCGTGAACCGTGGTTAAAAGCGGAGTTGTGGTGGAAAACCCTTTTCTGAAACCATGTTGGAAGGGGAACAAAATGTTGTTTTTTTCCAAAAAGGAAGAAAAGATTGAGGTACACCTAAGTATTCCTTATGAGCTGTGAATGCGAAAGCATGCAAGCCGCTCGTCCGCTCCTTTTTTCGTCCGCTGCGTATTTTTCGTCGCTGGACAGTGCGTGTGCTCCCCTGTTGACCTTGGACGCTCCGCGCTGATGGACACGCAGCGCCATGGGGTGAGCGGTCATGGAAACTGATGAGCGCAGCGGTCAATGGGAGCCCCGTCAATGCGCGCCAGCCAGTGGAACTGAAGGAAACTATCTGCTGTTTTCGTGCTTCAGACTGATGACGTCAGCTTGCTCCATGAGACAGTTAATGCTTTCACATTAATAAAGTCTGGAATAATATGCTCCATGAGTTTGCAACAGGAACATGTGAGAGAAATGGGATGATAGTTTGTTAGCGATAATGGGTCTCCTTTCTTGAATACAGGGACGACTCGTGCTAAGAGCCAGTCGTTTGGAAGCGCACTGGTGACTTACTAGGTCTGAACTATTATTAGCAAGAAACGTGCCAGTGACTGTGTACTGTCGGAGAAAAATAATTTAAATCTTATCGGGGCCTACGCAGTCTTTGTTTTTAGATTTAACAGCATTGACCAAAATACCTTGATAGGAAATCAAATCAGCAGTTATGGGTAACGAAGAAGTGCAACATTTATACTCGTCCTTTTCTTGAAAACTGACTGAAAATAAAACTTGAAGTGCTGAGCAATTAATTTTTTTATCTGAAACAAAACTGTCATTTATCATAATGTTGTCAACAAGATTATTTTTGTTGGCCAGGCACCTCCGAAATTTCTCACGGTCATGCTTCAGAAAAGCTGACAAATTGTTTATAAAGTAGCTTTCTCTAGCCTGTGCAACACTGCTGGTTAACTCAGTCTGTAACTCACATACCCTTTCGAGACCACAGTTTCTTTTTCTCATTCTTTTTAGTCTATGTTTGAGATAAATGATGTTTCTATCAATCCATGAATTGGTTTGTCTTAGACACCTTTGTCTATTAGGAATGAAGTTGTCTAAGCAAAAGGTGCACATAAGCTTTACCAAAGAACAGATAGATAGGAATCATGTATTTGAAAGTCAGCAAATGGCTGAATGTAAATATTCAAGAACACTGTCATCATCAGCAAGACTGAAATCTTTGACAGTCGTCATGCACAATCTTTGACAGTCGTCACTGTGCGTCTTTTATTGGTTGGAAGCCTTACCGAAGAGCAGCAAAATATAGTAACTTGTAATCTGACACACCGTCTTCACCACTAACATGGCAGTTAGAAAAGGCACTGTTTACAAAAATTAAGTCTGAAAGTGAACAACTTGGGCCCTGGACTGGACACATGTGGGCTCTGTTACAATCTGCCTACATGCAAACATTATGTCACAGACGATTGTGGCATTCTCAGTAGATGCACTTGAGAAACTTGTCCAATGAATTTCTGGGAAATTGAAGTCGCCAGAAAGGACAACATTGTTATTTTGAAATTGTAGTAAATAACCATACAACCTTAGGAAAAAGTCAGATGGTGAACTTGGGGGCCTATAGACCTTTTCCGCTTACTCTCGCCCCTGGCCGCTAAGTAGACATATCCGGTATGGGGGACGAAAAAATATCAGAACGTTTCAACCTGCTAATAGTAAAAAAATAAAGGGGAGGCAGAACGAGAATGTGTGACGGTTACGTTTATGTCTTAAATGCCTTCTATTGGCGTGGCACCGGCAAAACAATGTTTTCGCCCATACTGGAAGTGACGACAATTCAAGATGGCGGCGCCCTTGCGAAAAAGGTCTATACACAGCACAAAATGACACTTGAACCGCACACATATACCCTAAGGAACAAACTTTCATGATCATCAATCTGACCTAGTAAAACAGCGTCGATCGATGATTTGAGCACGATTGCAACGCCTCACCCCCACGAGGAACAATCTCTTCTAAATATTTTTTTCAATGACAGGATTACTTCATTATCACCGGTAAGCCAGGTCTCTGTGATGATCGTCATGTGAGGATTGTAATTTAATAAAATGAGCTCGAGCTTATCTATTTTATTACTAATGCTATGAGCATTGAAATTTACAAAATGCAGTTGTTTGTTTACGGCTTGTGGAACTGCCCGTCAATCTTCAGAATGAGCTGGTGGCGCAGAGGAAAGCAGTATGCATTCATTTGCAGCCTGATCCCAGATATACAAGTCATCATTAATTCGGAGCTTATCGTGAACCAGAAAGACCTTCTACCATTAGCCTTGTCGTGTTTGGCAATCTCCCACAACATTTTCTTTTTATGTTGCATGCTCTGTGAATAGTCATTATGAATGAAAACCTTAGACCTTTTTAAAGGGCCCATGCAATGAATTTTGGGCTGAGATGAATGAATTTAAATTGGGATTTTACTAATAGCATATCGTTTAGTGGGCCAAAAGAAAGAAGTCAAAAGCCTGATTTTTGGTACGAAAATTTGAAAACACCGCAGACTATTTCGTACCTCCTTTCTTTCAAAAGCTCTCTGCCTTTTCACTTTGATATATTTGTGGACCCAAAGAGCGTCACCTGGCCCAAACGCATGTCACACGACTTTGGACCTCACTTATTCCTTTCACCCTTAAGCTAACAGTGCGGTGGAAGCTATGCTCTTGCCGGACCCATCAGCCGCCTCCCTTTCATCATTTCACCTCATTCTCTGCGCGTGGATATGCACAAAGGAGCATGATCCCTTGGCAAAAGTGTGGCTGGCCCAACGAGCACGTAGCGTCCACAGCACTGTCAGCTTTGGGGCGAACGGGGTGGGGAAAGCAACTTTTGTCAGAGTTTTGAGCGACGGGCTAATCTTTTAGGAGGAGAATGGTGTGTCCGGGTACTCAAACGAGGGTCTGAGCAAGAGGGGAGTCCCTTCTTTCCGTCTTCTTGAACTGTTTGGTACAATGCGCGATTTGTGAGTTGAGAAGGAAAGCTAAGAAGGAAAAAGTTGAAAAATCATTTCATGACCCCTTTAAATTTTTCGCATTTTTGAGGACTGACTTTGTCTCGGCGAAGTCTTGAAAGTACCGTATTTATTTGAATATAAGGCGAGGTTTTTTTCCGAAATCCGTAATCTCAAAGTCATACCCCGCCTTATATTCGAAGCTCAGTATAGCAATATGACATTTTTTTTCTTTTTCTTGGGTCCTTCAACTGCCCCCTCGCCTTATAATCGTGACCGCCTTATATTCGAATAAATATGGTGCATAAATACTGGTCTTTTGGTGCCATTTCTTCGTGGCCCGTGTACTCTGGCAATTGAAGTACAAGGCACACCCAATTTGTCAGCAAATGTTTTAGATATTACTTTACTTCTCAGTTGTTCTTTGTTTTCAGTCGGACTTTCCGTGACGCCAAAAATAACTAAATTGAAGCGCTGAGAATGGTGTTCGAGCTCAGAAATTTTTATGCTTTGTTGCAGCACAGTACTCCGAAGATAAGTGATAATGGTCTCTAGCTGGTCTACCTGACTCCACATCTCTCTTAGCTCTTTTAGGATTCCATCTATCTCAGCGAATTTTGCATGCATATGATTTACTGTTTTGTCGGTTGCTGTTTGCTGATCATGAAACTCAGTTATATATCTCTCTGTGTGGTCGCTTGACCATCAAGTAGAATTTGAAGCATTTCCAGGCTAGTGGGGCTGGGATTAGACTCCACGTCACTGCACAGCAGTAACCAACAAACAAGAAAGCAGTCCTAGACACACCTCTTTAGACACTGTGGGCACGACATAATCATAAGCGCTAAATTATCGCCTGTGGAAGAGGATGTGCAATAACTAACCTGTAGCAAGAGGAACGGCACCCTCTTTAGCCACATGCTGGTTAGCCACATGGTTTCGCTGTGCCTACTGAAGAAATATTGCTGGGCAGTGTTTCTTGTAGTAGACGCTGCCGATGACGTCATAGGTCCCATGATGCAAAATTCCTCGGATATAAGTGGCACCGCTGAAGTCACGTTGGTAGAAACAAACTTGTGCTGACAAGTCGTTGCCAATTCATTGTGACGAGGCCACACACAGTTGACAAAAGCGCAGCAGCCATCGACCGGATCAGGCATAGTCAGTAGTAGCAAAACCTGCAACATGAAGATTGGTATCTTCGTTAGCCACACGCTTCTCATGATTTCACCGTGCCCAAATGCCTCTTAAGATTTAAAAGTTTGTCGGCACCTGCTTCAGGCAGTAGGCTTGTTCTATTTACCTTTGCCTTCCTCACTCAGTGCACGCCGTGGTATTGACTTGTATGGGAAGTGTACAGCCCTGCATGTTTCTGCACCGGTGTTAAGCTGGTTCAGGTAAATAAAAAAAAACAATATGTTATGGTCAGGGCTTCCGGTTTTAAGTATTTATCCTTTAAAGCAGTGGTTCTCAACCATCTATGTTTTGTGGACCCCTTGTGGATCAGCGGAGATGATGGAGGACCTCGTCCGTGGTGAAGGGAGGGGAAAGGTATAGGTTAAATATATTAATGATTTAATAAATGGATATAACTTAAGGCTAGTCTGAAGTAGACTTCTCTTATTGACATACACACGAAAAAGCTCGTTCGAAAACTAAAGCATTTCTTCTCGACCTGAAAAAAAAATTTTTGTGCCGGGCTTTACTGATGAAGCAGGGCATCGCTGACCTCTAGAATGCCTTTGCGGACCCCCATTTAAGAGCCACTGCTTTAAAGAAATGGCTGTTTATTTTACGAAATCAAAATTGGTGCGTAGTGGCATCCGTTCTGCATGGGTGCGACTCAAACACATAAAGTTGGTGGGAAAAGTTAGACGTTTACTAATAATGTTCCATAAAAGCAATCGAAAGGACGACAGGCTAGAACATATGACATGTAGTCCCTTATTTGGTTGCTTGAGCCTTTCTGATTGCATATTCCCAGATAAGAAGTGTTACACTATAGTCCAGTCACCATATTTGTTCAGGAACAAAATGTGACCTTAACCTTGATACCGTTACAAACAAAGTGCTACTAAAAATGGTACTCACATTTTTATTGCCTCATCAAACAGATCACAATTACACATGCAAACCATCTGGCGTGTCAACATGCCCTTTCAAGGTTGTTGCGCAAGAATAGTGCACTCTCTTTTTTGCTCCACAAACATAGAAAGGTATAGTATAGACAAATTTTCGGTTCCTAACAGAGTGTAGCAATAGGAGTTGAGTTTCAAGACTCACATTTACCGGAGTAAAAAATTAGATGCAAAAGACTGATTTTGTTTACTAGAGGATGCTGTCGAGCAACAAAAGCAGAGCGAGTGCCGTAAAATACAGAGGGAGCACCCAACCCACTTTCATTGGAAATTGAGTTGATTTAGACATGGGCGCTTGACCAGTCAAATCGGGTGCTTGGCGTATACTAATTTGCAGAATTCCCAAGTTGGTGAAATGTTAACAGTGGGCGCTTGAACAATGTGGGCGCTTCCTCGATATATTATGGTACTTTTTCCACTGCATCTCTCCGATAGTGCTAGTATAATTCTTAGGTGTTCTGTCCTGGAAAATGTTTCACCATTCCGTGGGAGAGCTTGCCCCAGGGACAAATTGAACCACTAGACATGCTCTCAACAATAATGGAAGAACAAATCGAACCAGGCGAGCAGCTTACTCACACTTTTTTCTGTGCTGGGAAAAGTGGCAGTAGGCACAATTTCATCCATGTGTCAGTGGGCCCCTTCGGGTTCTCTCCAGTAGTTACATCCCTTGTTACAAAATTAGCTGCCTTTCCCAGGTAGTTCCTTCTCGAGTGTCTCCTTCCTTCATCTTTTGCCCTTTTCCGCTTTGTTTGAATACTACTCACCTGCACCATCTTGGCTGCGATACCATAAAATTCTGTGGCCGGTGTTCTACCTTTGTGCAGAGTTCCAGAAGCTCTGGAGGAGTGTCGCTGTCGAGGGCATTGATGACCAGAAGATTGAGGAGTACCTACAGAAGCAGGGCATCAATTCTATGCAGGACATGGGCGTCAAGAAAGTGGTATGTTGCCGGCCATTCCTGCGGTGCAAAGGTTTCGTTTGTCACTGTGCAGTTGCAATGCCATTAGTGAAATTAGCATTAATCAACTCACCCTTTAAGGGGCTATGCAACAATTTTCAGACTTTGGCCAACTAACTGCGAAAATTAATCTGTGTCACCTATGGAACGAAAAGCAGAAAACCGTATTTTCTTGCGAGCGCTAGTTCTTATTTAAAGAAAATGAAACAGATAGAAGGTCAAAGTGCCTCTCAACTCCCCACGTCGACTTTCGAGTGACGTACTCTGGAGGTTCACATGGTTTCCCCTTGGGTCCTCTCTTCAGAGACCCCCACCGCTTCCTCTTTGATTATTGACTTTTATAGGATTAGCCTCGTCGAAGGTCGCGGCGAGCGATCGACACAAAGGACGGTTCACCACGGGGCTGACAGCGAGTGTAGCAGCGGAGGGGGACAGGTTTTGTTGACTTCTGCACATCCCCCAGAGACACCGTCATTTTAGTTCCCATAACCGCGACAGGCGGCTGCAAATCGGCAAATAATTTGTATTTTTGCTTTGCGATTACGCAGCAGAATAGAAGTTTTTTGGGGAAAGGTGATGCGTTTTTGGTCACTTGGGCTTGCATAAACAATATAAAAAATGCGAACTGCCAATTATTTCAACATTAAAATCATTGCATTGCCCCTTTAAGTTTCTGACAATACTTCAATGGAATGGTAGGGTGTCCTTCACTGGTGGAAGCTCATAGCCTGGAACGGGCAAGGCAATGTTGAAAGTTACCAGCTGTCGACGAGCTCCTGAAGGTCCACTCAGACACTCACGACCTTTTAGGACTGGAGAGGTTAAAAACTGGTTTTTAAGCCTTTCGTGACGGCTTGCGACCGGCGCCACAGCAGTGCAGCCAGTCATAAGCCATCACAAAAGGCAAAAAAAACAGTTCATCATTTTATTTATTTTTTTCCTTGAGGGCTTGTGGGGCATTATACAAGGGGGTGGCAATAGAACAAAAACAAATAGAACAGTAAACACAATTATAACACTGTAAGCTAGTCAGTAAGTAAGTAAGTCAGTCGTAGTCAAACGCAAGTGTGTGAACGGGCCTTTAGCCATTGGGCATTAACCTTATATGCCTGTTTGCATCAAAGGTTAAGTCACTAGAATGTGCAATGTGTCCTCCTACACCATCTGTGACACAAAAAGTCATGGCTTACCTTTTTGCTAGCCTCTCTGGTCACAATTTTTGGCTGAATCCAGATTAGAAAAGCTTCACATTAGTAAATGAGCACTGTGATCAGGTACATTATTGTAGGGGGTCAACTACCACACCTAGGATGTAGTGGGTTGTATGCTTCATATAAGCAAACATTTCGAGAGCAATAAAATATACCGGGTGTCTCGGCGAAGACTTTCAGAAATACCTAAAAATAGGGTGGTTGAGAGAAAAAAAAAAGTTTTCTGGGAACTAACTGGCAGGGAACTTTTCTGACTAAATTTAGCGGAAAAGTTTCCCCGCTAACTTTAGCAGAAAAAGTTCCCTGCTAAATTTAGCTGATAAATTGACATCACGTGACCTCAACACCAATTCAGTTTCCTGCGCTAAATTTAGCTAAGAAAATGACGCCCTGAATTCGTGTTGCGGGACCCATGAACAAATTCAGCTGCAAGAGGGGAGGGTACAGAGGAGGAGGAGGGGCATACCCTCCTTTTCTCCTCCTCAAGAGCTGCACTTTAATTTCGCATTACAGAGATTTGTAAACGTCTTTCATGTTTTACCCTGCCGATGGGTGTGGCTTAGAAAAGCATTCCATTCCATCATTTCCTGTGGGAAAGTCTGCTGCTCTTATCATTTCATACTATGGGTAGCGAAGACAAGGCAGTCTCCTATTGGCAGCAACATAGTGCCTGTGATGTGTAGAAAGCCAGTGGTTCTTGTATAGTTACTGTGACCAAATCCATTCTTTTTTTTTATATTCCAGAACTCTGCCCAGAAGCGAAAGAAACCGTCATCCAAGAAGGCCAAGACGTTCAAGAAACACAACGACCACATGGGTGACATTTTAGAAGACTACACTGACAAATGAAGTTTCCGACAATATGTAAATAAAATGTTATGTATATGTTTACCTATAAAGAAGAAAAGCCATTATTGGTTGAAGCCTTTTATCCTCCTTGTGAGAGTTGATGAATCACTGCTTCAGCTTCAGCCTATATTTATTCACTACATAACGTAAAATACCGAGCAAGTCATCAGTTTGACATATATATAAGCTCCGCATATATTTTCAATGTTTCAAATTTTGGGGGTGGGTGCTTAGTGTGGAATGGGCGGATGCACGGTATTTTCCGGTATATGTTTTGTGAGCCTATCCTTGAACAACACGCTAGGAGTGACTTTCAAGTGGATTCTTCTAATCCATACCCACTTGCCCGGCTAGTAAGGCTAGTTGCTGCCCCATCTGTGGTAAGTGCTTGCTCTTCTACATTACACAAAATTTTGATTAATTTTTGCCATTATTGCATCCGAAGTTATTACTAGCTTTTTCTTAACACTGAAGCTAAAAACCTCGGCACCATTACAATGCCGGATCATTACAGTAAGCTTGAGCAAATCTTCAAACCTTTTGACTACTGATTAGAATAATGTAACCTTTGATTCAGCCTTCGTATAGAAAGCAAACACCATTTGAAAATTTTTCAATATGTTCCTTACGACTCGAAAGTTGTTTTGGCAGGCTAGTTTGCTCCGTTAAGTGCTGTTCTCACCGGGCGCCGGTACACTGCGGAGAAGCGTCACCCACGAAGTGGATCCTGCAATTTTGCGTATTGCTTTGCCGCAGTGCAGCCGGAAGTTTGGTGGAAAAGCACTCCTCCAGAGCGGTATAGTGAATGTGCGAGTCGAGTGTGGTCAACCTTCCACTAGTTAGCAACTTGGCGGTTCCCGCTGCAGATCGACTCGAAAGCATCTCGACTGGGGACAGGGACAGGGCAGGGGACCCGTCAGCAGGAACAGGGAGCCCGATGTCTCAACAGAATGTAATGTTTAATATATATTTACAGCGGTAGAGCACCAGCCATGCACCTGTGTTTCATGTTCTTCCCATTATTTATATTACCCTTACCAGCACGCTTTCCATTCCAAGTATACCTTATAAAGGTTTGCTTTTCTTTCGCTCCACAAATGGGGACTTGTAAGGAAATATTTGTGAGCCAATATGGGTCGAGCAAACTTCAGTCATGGCTTTGCCCACAATGCTGTCTTGGTCTACGGGTTCACACTTGAAAGAATGTGTGTGCCACCAACATTCATTGTTGCTCCTCGACAGGTCACTGCATAGTAGGTTTCCGGCAGGTGGCACGGTCACTGAAGACGCCTTCCCAGTTGGTTGTGATGACACTGATGGTCTTGTTTTGATGCTTGGTCTTTGGTTCTCCCCAAATGTAGTCGACCAAAGGGGAATTGTTCCCAAACCTAAAGAATGGCCAGATTCCATCCCGCGACCCGAACATAGCTCGGGTCACATCTGTACCGGAAACGAGCACTCCCCTCGGTGATGTCATTGCAGTTGGAAACCGAGCTTGTGTTTCCAAGGTTCGGCCGGTGTGTGGAACACAAGGGTTTTCGGAAGCAAACCACTGAATGTGCAAGATTTGGTTGTCTTTGCCAAAATAAAACTCCAATCGCAACAGTGGATACTGCTATGAAAACTACCTTGCAGCAAGATTTAAGATAGGACCGCAGCTGAAATTTATGCACCTGTCATTCGTTAGACTTTATTCTTCCTTTAAGTCCAACATTGAAGAGTGAAGTTTATATGTAATGAAGATTTCTCAAATGTCATCTAGGTGTAGCTGGCAGTACTTTAGGTTTAGTAGTCGTTATTTACTCGTTCAATAGTTTCCTTAATATTAAGCAAGTTCCAGAGTGGAGACATACAAGCTCGGAGACAACCTGAATTAATTTAGCTGAACATTTAAGCACTTTTGTCACCTACATTGTTACGTTGTATTAACTTAATACTATGTTCACCTGCAAAATCCTGTTTTATTTTTTATCTGAATTTAATTTACTCAGTTCGGTACTCAAAATTATAGTTTTAACATCATTTCAGTGGGATACTGCTCGATTTACTTTTATACCATCAAAAGCAACCTTTCCCAGGAGCAAGTCCATCAAAAGGCATGTTTCAAAAGTGGCTGCTAAAATGTGGCTTCAGAAAGGCTCGAGATACACCTAAGCACTTCTTACAAGTTGTGAATGCAAAAGCATGCACGCCGCTCTTTGCTCCCTTCTTTCGTCGACGGTCGAGAGCACGCGCTGTCCTAAGCGCGCTGACCTTGGGTGTGGAGCGGTGGAGCCGCTGCCTTGCAGACACGCAGCGCCATGGGGTGGCGGTCGTTGAAACCGACATGCAGCAGCCAATGGGAGCCTCTCCAACGCACGCCAACCAATGGGACTGAAGCCGAAATTCATCAGCTTTACTCCGCTCTTTTGGGATCGGGGAAACTAGGTGCTGTTGTCTAGGCTTTTCGCGTGGTTTCATAGCTGGGAGCTGGCTTCACTTGGAGAAAGGATTTAAGGTCCCATTTGGCACGGTTTCAAGGCTGATGACGTTGGCTCGCTCCATGGGACCAGTTAATGCTTTTGCATTAAAAGGATAGTTCTCACAATGCTTCTGTTGCAGTGTGGCACTCTCAAATATCTAAACAGCTAGTAGTTGAAAATTTTAAGTACTAATCAAACTGTCTGGTGTACAATGCATGTTAAAGGGATACTGAATTGAAACTTAAAATATACCTCTCATGTTCAGAAATAAGTGAATCATGATCAACTCTACTAATGACAATTGAACGCCTTACATTTTGAACGGATGGCTACATTTTTCGTTCCAAAAGACAGATCCCAGCGAGCGCTCCAAGATCAACCATAAGAGAGCACAATGCATGCTGGGAGACGCGACGTCAACTGGCCCAGCACAGGCAAAGCTGCTTGGGGGCTGGCATGGTTACGAGTTCCGCTACTTCGTGTCGTCATCGCATTACAACCTGGCCGTTTTAGCTTCCCCTCCTCGCAGGACTCAGTAGGCCGGGAGAGAAAGGAAATCCGGTTTGACACTGCTAGCACGCGTGCAGCTCGCTGCCATATTTCCGCATAGCAGCACTGCTTTTAAGTTCAGTGACGCAACGACATTTGGTTTATTCCTTTTAAATAATGTTTTGGTGCCTTGTCGAGCAAAACTTTGTGTCTCCGCAGTGTGGCTAGAACGTGGTTGACATTTAGACAATACAATAAGCGCTAGAATTTTGTTGCAGTATCCCTTCATCGAGTAATTTTATAAAAACAAAGGCAGTTTTTTTTTTATTTGAACAGGCCAACACTTTAATCTTACGATAGTATTAGAAGTCGAGCAAACCAGAATTAAGTATGGTACGAATGTGCTCCAAAATCACTCTGACCAATTACATTGCTGAAGTCTCAAGCAATAAGAACAATAAATCATCAAAGTTTGAGCAAAGTGTTATGTGCAATCGAGTTTATTGATCTTTGGGTAAGTTCACTATATGTACAAACGTACAGGTTCTTATACAGGGAATAGAAAAATACTCCAAGCTTAATAAAAGCAAGCACATGTAGCTTTCAGCTACCAAGTGCTAGATGGCCAACTGGTCCCTTGAGCAGAAAGCATTGGCAAGCCAAACTGCGCCCCTTAGCACGTTTTTGTAGTCCTGTTGGACACTTCTGTGTGGATGGAGAAGTGTACACCTCTCCATTCATGCAGTAACTCTAGGATGTAGAGCTCTGGAGAGGAGGGACCTGTGCAGTACTGAAGTTGTGCGTGGAGCAGACTGCCTGGTATTTCTCAAGAGCATACCACAATAGCTGCAGCTCCAATTGTTGAGCGATGCCAAGACATGAGATTCTTGCACAATCAATGAACTTGGAACAATAATTGCCTATTATTTTACCTAATTAGCTGTTCAGTCCTCGCTATATGTACATACATTCACATTGCACAAGGGCAGCACTAGGCACTGCAGCAAAAATTGTGCTCGCCAACTTATTTCCACTGTCAGCAGGGCAATGCTAGGAACTGCGACTGTCTAAAATGAACAACCAGGTTTCAACGTTTGTGTAAACCGAGGGCAAACCGACTGAGGTAAGCAGTGAGAACAAAGGCACTAGTCCGTCCCTTAGCTGTGCAACAAAGGGGGAAAAAAAGGTGATAAATGTGACCATAGACATGATCAGAGCTTTCTCATGCCAATATACAACAAAAAAGAGATTGTTTGACACTTCAGGAAGGGAGGCAGAAGAGCGGAAAACAGATGGCAAGGTTAGCCTCGGTGTGGATCTTAATCGCCAAAGCTGTGCGCACACTAGAAGAGTAATATATAATGAGCAGAACACAAACATGTTCTGACAATGCACCGCACTAAATACAAGGCAGCATCAGCATGGTATCTTAAGAACTCACACATGCATTAGCATACAATGAGTGTCCCAATTTTGTTCACCATATTTCAAATTTTTTACAAAGTTGCAACCCACTCTGCCATGTGCTTTATGTAAACTGCTAGATCTAGGGACCTGCATTAGAGGGCAAGAAAATGGCAACATGACATTTTCACTTCCAGAAACAGTCACACTTTTGGCATCTACATACGGTAGGTCGAAGTGAAGCATATGAACATTGCCGTGGCAAGGGGTCTTACACAAGCTAGCCATGACTAACGTACCTTTTTTGTGAAGTGTCACAATAGAAAATCTGTAATAGTATACAAATTCTGGAATGCTGCCCTTTTTGAAGGCCTTGAACAAGAGAGGGCACAATCTAGTCAGAAACAGTTCATAGTACAATGAGGTGCACGGAATGTAAATCACAAACAAAAATTCATCATGTTGTGCAGTGGCACATCACAATTGCAAACAAATTTCATACTTCTCACAAATCCTGTCGTACAATCACATCAAAATGTAAAACAATGATTGGAACATTAATAGCATTAAAAAAAGAAGTCTGCCAAATATTGTCAATACTTATAGGAAAAGAACAAGGCATGCATTTCAACGACAAAATAGGGCATGCCCTTGTCAGCAAATAAATCATTCTCATCTAATTGCGAGCTGTGGGAATGCTGCATATCCAGAATTTGGTACCCAACGAACATGTAGAATGCGGCTACACACATTTAGAGGGGTTAGGACATTTCATGTTCATCAATGTTTACCTCTATTTTAGTTCGAGAAGCCATTATGAGGACACAAGAAAACTGAGTTTCAGTAAAAGTAAGAGTCCCACAGAGTGAGGCAATCATAAAATCTTACAAGTCGGTGGCTTGATGCAGAGACATTTTTGTTTGCACAAGGAGGAAGCCTTAGTTTAGACTGTCAACAATAATTTTGAAGTAAATGATTCCCTTGGATTTATATTACTAACTACATTGGACATTTTTTTGTTTTTTCTTGTTTGCAGGTTTACTGGTATGGGCCTTCGGCCTTTCTGCTCTTCTCCCAAGCCAAATAAATGAAATGAAAAATGAAATGACATGAGGGCATCAGTGCGGTGCGGTATGCACTGAACCAGTTACCCAAAACTAACTACTTAACCTTTTAGATATCTGCCTTAAACGGTTTATCCCAACCAGGTTTGCAGCCCCTCGACAGAATAGCCCATAGCAATGGCAATATTTCACAATAAGAAATTCTGCTCCGAGCTAAGAGAAAAATAAATTCCAAAAAACTCGCACCTTCAGATATTGGAGCGTGACGAGTCTTTGCTGTCAGTAAGCGACGTAAATAATATGCCACTGCCAGGCCAGCTTAGGATTCCTCGCCATTAGCTCTTGTGGCGGAAACTAACTTGTTTTCGAGGCAGGACTATCTGCTGTATTAGGCTTGTAAGAAAAGAAACAGCATGGAAGCATTCTTCTTTAGTGATGATTTTCATACCATTTTTTTTAAACATTGGTGTTTGGCATCAGCGTCGAAGTTTTAAGTATGATAAGTCTGCTCGCCATGTAGTCTATATTTAATTTGATATGGGGGGTATCTGACTAAATTGGTGCATCTGGGCTAGCACATTAATGAAAAGATTATTGTTGCGCACGAATGCACTGCAAACACGTCCTATCACTGTTGGGAGATTAGCTGGATTAGTAGTTTGCAATGTTCTTGGCTGGAGACCATGGCTCGTGCCGAAAATATGGAAGTCCACATTTTTCAAATTATCCCAGACTGATCAGGCAGCACCACTGTCCGCAAATTCGACATAAAACTTTTTGCAGTAAAGGCAGTGCACAACATGCATGGCACTGGAAGATTTGGCTTACACATATACACTTGCTTGAAAAATACTACCCAAACTTATAATAAAAAAAAAAAAATTGTAGATTGCAAATTGGATGCCGGTATGAATACAGAAAATCTTGTGGATGGAGATACCAAAATGACCTTTTGCCAGAGGTCTACTTATCCAGAAGTACAGTACCCATACAGTGGTGGTAGTAACTTGCAACAACGTTGCAGGTGATAACTCCAATCACCTTTTAAAGATCTTCTGCCCATAACCTTGCACAAAAGATGGTAGCTGAACGAACAATAAAAAACTGGCAGTGACCTTTATCTCCAAAGTTCTATGATGCACAAAATGCATTTAAGGGGTTATAGTCTAAATCTGTTAAGAACAAATGAAACAATCATTTTGGGGAGTGAAAAACCTACCTTTTAACTATTTCCCTGCTAAATTTAGTGGGGCAACTGACTGGGTGCATGGGTCATGGGCTGTCAATTTTCCCGTTAAATTTAGCAGGGAAACTGAAGGTGTTTAGGTCATGCGACGCAAATTTTATCGCAAAATTTAATGTGGAGACTGAATTGGTATATAGGTCCTGTGACGTTCTGTCACGTGATGTAAATTTCCCCAATAAATTTAGCAGGAATTGCACAAATGAATGGACGGACAAAACTTTGCGATTGGGGGGTGTCATCAAAAAACATTTTATGCTTTGATACCGAGCATACACTCATGTGAAAATGCCCAAGCTTTGCTTCTCCGAAAATTCTGAATTAGCGAAGTATATAACACAGTACATAGGCTTAACTCAAAAACCTGCCCATACCTGCATTTTGTCACAGTTATTTCATGAGATTGAATGGACCCTTGCTTAGTTTTTTGTAGTATTCAGCAACATACTCAACATGACTGTTACCTGTCACCACATGCTGCCCCTTTCCCTGCAAAGTGCAGCAAAACACATGAGGATGCCATCAAACCTTTGGATGTTGTTCGGCAACATTAAGTCTTGAAAGTCTAGTACTCTGGCGGTTTTCAAATGGGGTTCCGTGGACCCACTGAAGTCAGCGAAGGAACTCTTTGGGTCTGGGAAGCCATTACCTCAACCCTCAATCTCTCCCACCTCACCCTCCTCTCTTTTCTAGAAAACAAAAATTGTTCTTTGTTTACCCTGGTTAGGAGATCCAAGGTACTGCTCGTTATAAAAGGTACAACAGTTACAGTCTATCCATCCATCCATTCATTTTTTTTTTTTTTATTGATGCTTCTCACTTCTGTCTCTGAGAGTAGGGGATGCCCTTTTCACACCGCAAGTCTTATTTTATACCCCCCTCCCCCAGTTGGCATGGGATCCCCCATCACTTTGGTCGGTCCCTGATACATCCATGCTTGAAAACCACTGGCCTAATATAACTAATTTACTCCTAAAATGTAACAGATAATTTATGAAATGTACTTTAAGCTTGCCTCACCCCAGGGACGTGCTGTAGTAGTTACCAAAAAGATACAACCTTGCATTTAGACTCTGCAACATTTCTTCCTGTTAGACACACACAATCAATGTCATGAAAAGCATGCAATTCACACACTCGCACACAAAAAAAGCCCTACGTATCAAAATACCACCATGGAACTACATCTGCGCCCTGCAGCGCGTAAAAAAATAAATATGTTCTGCCGTGACTATGATGTGCGAATGCTTACGCGATCATACTCGGCAAGTTATGTCACGAGGCAATGCAGGAACATTCTTGATTACTCAAGCTGCACAATGAAACAGGTGCTTTGTAGAGAAACATATAAAAAAAAACTAGCAGTACAATCCACTCGAGTGACCGTTTGTCAAAAAGGTAGTCGCCAAGTGTGGCACATTACCTGTCTGCAAGTGGTCCTCAATGTCGACGCTAGGCACGACCAAAGCACGAGATTGACGTCCTTATGTGTGCAGACGGACTCTACTTTTCCTTCGCCGGCACCACGTAGCAGGTACCTTCGAGGCTATCCAACCTACTGGTACCTTTCAAATCATGACTGCAGCCATACGTGGCTGAAGGAGAGGACATACCAACCTCTACGCTCTCCCGAGGAGAATGGGGTAGCCTTTCTATTCCTCCTTACACAGCGAGACAATGTCCTTTTCTTCATCTGTGCTTGGTAATCTGCTTTCGGCCACGGTGCCGGGCAGCGGAGTGCTCGGAAGACGGCCTTGCAGACGGCTTGATGCGAGTCTTTGTCACCTTTTCCTCTTTCCATTTGGCTCGTCGGTTGGTCAGACTTTTGTTTCCGAGAGCGGCGCTGCTTGGAAGGTGATTGCCTCGCTGTAAGGCGGTGGAGGATCCTCTTGGGACGAGGACTGCCTCTGCATGGTCGTGAAACAGGAACAAGAAGAATGCTGAAGCAAGAGGATGTCTCATACAACACGGTGGATATACGAAAAAATAGTATGAGTGCAGGCGAGCTGGTGTAAGTCGAACATGATTGTAAACCTGAGACTGGGGCAGAAAGAGAACACTACAGAAGGTAGTAAAAGAGGAGGCAACGTTGAGACGTTGCCTCCTCTTTTACTACCTTCTGTTGTGTTCTCTTTCTGCCCCAGTCTCAGGTTTACAATCATGTTCAAGGTGGATATCCTGTTTGCTTTTGTCTATCACCAACATGATTACATTCATTCCTATTTATTTAGTCTAACGATTTCGTCCAAACGTTGCAACAAAAGAGAGGTGTCTTCGAGCAATGATGGTTTCAACTAAAGCTCGTGCCAATTGCCTGATCATACTGCTCAAGTTTCTATACTCATTGTAACCCCCACCCCCCTACCCCCCTGCCCAAAAAAGAGCAAGTTTTGCACATAATTTACACAGTAGAAAGCAGTTCTTACGAGGAGTGGTTGTGAAAGAAAGAAATTATGCCTTCTTTGTTCGAACCATGCACACGTTGATAAAACATCAAATAACTGATTATAAATGCACATCTAGGTTCACAACATAAAGCAGAAAAGTAGTAATGATCTGCAAGGAGCCAAACCTTTATTGCTACAGTGCTTAAGGCGTAACTGGGTAGAGCAGGGGTTCACAGCCACTGATGTTTCAGGGATCCCATCCGCAAAGGGGGGGAGGGGGGTGACGTCGAACGATTGCGATGACAAGGGTAAATGAAGGAAACCGAATGCATGAAAACCAAATTTGCAGCCCTGAAATGGAGAATAATGAACTTCCTTGCCCAGTGCACACAGTGCCCATGGTTTTGCCCATTTTACTTTGTGGGACAGCCAGCATCAATGAAAAAAAAAAAAAAGGTTTTAGTAATCAGCTTGATCGGGTCTACAAACTCGAAAGAATTTGTAGAGCCTATTCGAAAACCACCAGGGTAGAGTATACCATAAATATAGGGTTCTTGCATGAGAGCATCATGCAACGCTACTGCCAGTTTGTACACCTCACCGGAACCCGCCAAGATCCATGTTGAAGGCATTCGTCACTGTTGCTATGTGCTTTGAAGCCGTGTTCGCTTTGTAGTTTGTCCGGTCACTCGAGGTTTAAATTGGTCAGCTGCGACAGAATTAATTGTTTCAGCCGTAAAAGTCAGCGACAAAATGGAGCTATGGCAAGCGGTACCGGTTTATTTTAGAATTCGGGAATTCATTAGGAATTACGACAAGGCGACGTTTCAGAAATCGGTTAGCCGCCATCATGAAAGGCTCCGACGGATACGCCAGCACAATTTTAACAGAAAAACCTCTTACCAATCAAGGGGTGGTGAATTGCACTTCGTGTTAGGTGAGAATCCTCTTTGCAATTGACTAGGACAAGTAAAGCAGACAAAATTACTTGCGTGACAGTCCCAGTCTTCATCTGTGTAGCCAGTTAAAAAGTTGGAGGACCGGCTACAGTACTGAGAAGTTTTGCACAATATCCTCCAATAATTTCATGTATAAGCAGCGATACTTAATTTCTTGTCAGTCACCATAAATGAATAGCAGACGACGTGTTTTTTGCCATCCCACCGCACTCTTGCAAGGCGTTCAAGTGCAAAGCAAAAGCAACGGCACGCCATGAGTGCATTGAAGTGCCGTCGAGGATGTTAAACTAAAGTGACACTTATTCTGACCCGTGTTCCATTGGCTGCTCGCCATCAAATTGTTTTAGCTTCAAACACGAGCGAGGCAAATGCCAGGGCTCTAAGGCACTACTGCTGCCGCGACAAGACGCTGAGTGCCTCCTACATGGTGCGAAGGCATTGATGGCAGACGACAATGTTGGTTTCGATTTCGAGGCTAACTGGAAGTGATGTCAGGTGCAAGAAGCCTATAGACCGTTCCATTAGGGTCATAGCAGAGACGGTAAAAAGAGAAAAAAATGCCCTCCTCCTCTCACCCACATGTTGTCTGCTCCGCCGAGTGGGTTGTACCTAGCATCCGGCTGGCGTACACACTGTGTTTATAATCGCGTCATTTTGGAAATTTCAAGCGCAGATGCGCAGATATTGGTATGCCAGTTATCGTGTAATACTATGCTAGATAAAAAGACTAACAGGGTCCAGTTGCGCTGTTACCTGTGTGCAAATAAAAAAAAAAGAAATAGGGAAAACTGTGTCAGATTCGCTGGTCTCTCCGGCGAAAAGTAAATCTGGTTGCTGTACCTTTTTTACTATACAAAGTTTGTACTGGTGTAGGCCTTTAGCAACCATGAGTGGAAGTCTGAAATAATTAATAGAAACGTGCTCTCCTGCCGCAATACACGCAGTAGTTGAGGGTAGTACTGCTGGCTGACTCAACTGCTATTTAAGTAACCTAAAAAAGATATGATAGTATCGTTTGCCGAAAGAGAACAACAGAGAGCTCTAGGCTAATTTTGGAGTAGCCATAACTATTCTAAGAACGTGAACCACTTCACAGCGGCAGCCACGAGCGAGAGTTCGATGTTCCGTACAGCCCGCCAATACAGCCCAAAGATGGACAGTGGCAACCTCCCGTTTTTTCGTCTGCTAGCGGAGTCGGGCGCGTGCCCTCTCTCATTTTACCTTGCCGAACCCGCTGAATCTCCCGGATGTATGGAGAGGGCGCTGCTGTCGAACAAAATGGTGTCACCCAGAGAGCGCTAAATGGAAGGGTCTATACGAAAATAAGTTCAACCTGATAAGAATTAGAGCAAGCCCAAATACTGTTTTCTGCAGGTTACATACTAAAGAAAAACTTTCAGCCTTTCCACTCTGGTGAAGAAGGAAGAGCAGCGGAGTTGTAGCTTCTGTTCTCGGCGGTGGCTTTCCAGGCGAGCGATCTGCTCTTCTTTCGCAAGGGAATCTGAAGCGCTCGACGCAGTGCAAGTTTAGGCGATGGCGGCCTCGCGACAATTGCGGAACCATTCGCGCTGCTGCGCACATCGCCACTCGTTCCGTTCCCGCTCTTCTTCCTCCGAAGAAATGTTGCCGCGATCTATGAGCAACGGCGGCAAGCGGACAACCGGCAAACACAACACTCTGGACAGCTACCACCATCTATGAGCGACGTCAGCAACCAGAGTGTTTAGTTGGCAACGGGTGTCGACATTTGTTTGGTACCGGACACGATCCTGGCGAAACTAGCCCTTAACAGCTCTGCTGTAAAAAAACTCAAACACACGACTTGCTGCAAACATTTCCATAGACAGAGGGTTACAAAGAGTCTCTCTCTCCCTGTCAGAAACTCTGCTGTGTACTGCTGTCTCCCACCTCACTGCAGCCCCACCGATACCGCACCAGCAGCATGTCTTTCTGCGGTGCGTTAACCGTCCTCTCCCACCCATGCATCAAGGGTGGTCCCAAAATGGCAACAAACTGTGTCGCAGGAGCCGGTGTGTCGTGATTTTATAGACTGCAATCCTGGCGGCTGCTCGCAGAAATGCCAGAGAGAAAACGCAAGCAGACACGGGGATCGTCGTCGTCATGGCGTCCCATCTTGCATCCGCTTCGATTTCCATCGATTGTCTGGCTGCAGAGTAACCCGCAGCAGAACAGGAATCTGCTGCATCCACTTCTGCACTATTGCCAGGCAACCGCACGTCGCCTTTACAATGTTGTTGGGCAGAAATTGAGGGACTGTTTCCGAGGATGCAGCAAGCCCACCGGTCGGAAACGTGCTCCAGGCACCATACCGTTGGGAACTGGCGTCCCTAGCTCGCAAGAACAAGTCCTGGCTAAGCCGCCGGCCAAAAGCCTGCGTCGACTTCCTACGACCGGAGGTGTGAGCGGGCCCACCTTGAGCGAGACGGCCGCATCGTACGAAGGCAGGGTGTCCGAGCTCCAGGAGGACTCGTGGGTGGGAGCAGAGGCACGCTCCCTGGGCTCCCTGGAGTGGCTTCTGCGGTTGCGGAGGCCGCCCAAGAAGCCTCGACCGTTGCTCGCTCTGCGAAGCGATGAGGCGAGTAACGGTGAATGAAATGCTCCGCGTGCGCTCGGCCGGGCTTTTCGTCAACGAGCGACAGCAGAGGCCTGTTACAATCGCACAAAACCAAACAAGTGTGGGATTTGTTAATCACTCACGGCGTCAATTGTACCGGGCTTGTTGCACTGAGTAGGCGTCGTATTTGATAAACAAACTGAGCATGCATGCGTTTAATGTGCTTGGCTTTGGCGCTGGGAGAGGGAGAGTGCAATGGCGATACCCTCGCCCTTTCGCTGATAAAAGTCGCACTTGAGGCGCGGAGCGTTGGACCAATCGTGATTGTGCCGGGGGTAGGGTGACTGCCTTCCTCATCTTTGGTCGCTCGTTTCCTCGGTGCTCTGAGTTTTTGCATGCGAGATTCGGGCGGCCGAAGCGTATGCTGGAACGAGCAGCAACTGCTCGATGGCATTAAATGCACCCGTGAGACAGAACATTTTCAATGCGTGGGCACAGACGGTCTCACCATGGTTGTTAGGCTGGAATGCATTCGATGTCTGCTGCGAGTAAAGGTGAAGCGGCACATAGAAGAGAATGTTACCGAGCAAAGAATGGACACGCCGGTGCAACCAACTATTTGTACAGAGCGTCCGCGAGAACATGTTTGGTGCTAGCTGTTTTGTGTGTGATCAAGTGTGGTTTACGCGCAACCTGGTGTCTTTGCCGGCAACTTGCCACGGGGTTCTTTAGTTGTCGTACCCGGACAGTGACCCGACTGACTGCCTTCAAGGTGTGTGCTACGTGCATATGCAGTTTCGTACGTAGGCACGTAGCAATCGCAGCATGATGCAAAAAGAAATAAAAAATAATTAAACATCCCATCACCAAAATTTCCACTCAATCACAACGCAATATCACTGAAATGTCGCACCAGCGGACGCTGTCCATTTGCATCACGTCGCTTGATCATGCGCACAATTTTTTTCATGCGCCTGTCATAATTCAGTACTCGTACATGCACCTTAAAATCACAAGCCCTTTTCATACCCGCCAATGATAACTACATATGTCCATAATGTATGGCTTAATATACTGTATTTCCTCGTGCAATATCTTGCGACGTTATTTTGTTCATGTCGAACACTCTTCATGCAATGTTTTGAACCAGAACATAAGAAATGCAACATCAACCTCAGGACAGCTGTATGTTGTCTGCAAAAGAAGCCTCACAGCCTTGCCCTAGCTTAAAAAGAAGTCCACCACTACCCTACACTTAACATATAAGATTACTCTGAAACCCTTAGGTTTCAGAGTAATCTTTTATAGTAACTTTTAGATGTTACACATTACTGTTTAGAAATGTAACCTGTAACTGTAGCCCAACCATTTTTTTCCTCAAGTAATTATAGTTACTTTTCGAGATTTCTTTAGGATTAGAATTAACTGGAATAAGCGCAATCAAACCACTCCTCCTTCCCTCTGAAAGTATGTAGCCGCATTCTACACGTTTGTTGGGTACCAAATTCTGGATATGCAGCATTCTCACAGCTTACAACAGAGCTATATCCATGCATGATGCAAAAGATGCATTCTTTTTCATGCATGTCTTCAACCTTCACGACTGTGGATTTGCATGTGGTCGCAAAGTTTGGGTAATAGAGCTCAGCAAGCTTACTGATGTGAAGTGATGGTCGCAGTTTAAAGCAGTCCCCTCGTTACCGTCCTTTATGTTTTCTAAACCATCACTTCTTGGCCACATGAGCTGTAGGACGACACATCCGCAGTAGCCCAATGGCCAACAAGAGCATGAATTGAAGATCTTAGATGATGAGTATCAATAAAAAAAAGCACGGCAGGCAGTGCAGTGAAGACACTGGCAGCAAAATCCACAAGACGATGATAATACTTTTTTTTTTTTTTAACATCACCGGAATGTTTTGTCTACTGGTGAGTGGCAGTGGTGGAAAAAGGACACCTCAAAGTCAATGAATCTATATAGCCCCAAAGCTTTCCAGCAATGATGTATTTGATTGCACAACACAACATGGCAATTCCATTAAATATGCCAGCTAAATGCTTCTTCAGCAAAGAAAGGAATGTATTTGCTGTCTAAAAAAATTTTTAAAGTGCAGCTACAGCTCTGTTACCACACGAGGTAAACACTAGTAAACCTTATTCCACATAAAAAAACCTGCAGTGTTGGATTTTTCTACTCTGTCCTTAATTTTTGCATTTTTGTCAGGTTAGCATAAAAAGTAATGAAAAGTAATGGCATCACTTTCAGGGAGAGCTATACACCAACTCATGTTTACAAACAAACCAGAGCGCCCCTAGCGGACGCCACCGGCGCCGCGCATGCGTGGTGGATGGTGGGCAAGAAGCCCGCCGTCGCCCATAAACAAACCATTGAATTGCGTTGTTGTCGGTGTCGGTGGGAGTCCCCGTGCTCTTTGTCGCATTGGAATTGTTGATTCTACGTCCTCCTAACAATGTCTGACTACTTGAGCGGCTTCAGCAAAACTAACGAGGCAAAACTTTGCGTGAATAATGTGACGTGCGGCGATTCATTTCACGTGGACGACGCAGAATGGGCGCTAAAGCCTGAATCCAACGATGAGATTCCGCTTGCTATTTTCAGTCGCAACGTCGCTCGGACTGCAAAAGCGTGGACCGTAGCTGAGATGGTGGACGTCGATACTGAAAACAGCAAGTAGAATCGGGCATACAAGTTGGTGATGGCCACTGGTAACAATGATCAACATCTTCTTGTATCTGTTTACACTTAGCCTACTCACCCCAACCAACCTTCCAAAGTGTTTTGTTCTTATCGCAATTACCGGGTCAACGTTTGGTTTACGGGCCGCTGTCGTTTGAACGAGCCGACGACAAAAAGCAGTCAAGTTTGGAAGAGCAGACGACAGTTCGAACGGATGCGCAATGGAGTGCGGGCAAGAAGCACCGCGTCCCGCGACAACAAACCATTCGAATGTCACGTTGTCGGCGTCTGTGTGAGTCTGCATACTCTTTTTCACGTTGGAATTGTTGATTCTACGTCCTCATCGCAATGTCTTACCACTTTAATCGCCTGAGCGAAATTATCAAGGCTCGTTATGCCGCTAAACTTTCCGTAAATAGTTTGACGTGCGGCGATTCATTCGCATGAACGCCGCAGAATGGACGCCAAAAACCACGATGAGATTCTTCTAGCTATTTTCGGTTGCGACGTCGCTCTTGCTGCAAAAGTGTTGAACGTAACGGCGATGATCGACGTCAATACTGAAAATCGGAAGCGGGAACAGACCAAGCGTAACAAGTCGGTGATGGTCACCGGTACCAATGATCAACATCTTGTATCTGCTGTTTAAACCAAGCATACTTAAGTCTTTTGAGGCCTGCGATTACTTCTTATTGCAATCACCGGGTCAAAGTTTGGTCGACGGGCCGCTTTTGTTTGATCGAGCAGACGACAAAAAGCAGACAAGTTTGAAAGAGCAGACAAAAGTTTGAACGACCAGGCGGCCGTGTGAATTTGAAGACGCACCGAACCCGTGGGTGGTCCGGACAACTTGGCGGTTTTCTCTCGTTCATGTTGGAACAAAGCAAATACATCTGGCGACCACAAAGTGTTGCCCTCACACGCAATCGTAGTTCGACAGCGTCTGGTTTGCCCCTTTCACAGCTACTATCCACGTCCTCGGACGAACGGAGGGGACACAAACACATGAAAACTGATCTTCAAACCTTTCCAGACTCTCTTGGTAATGCCCCCATCACAGCATTTTGACGAGAAGGCAGGTTTTTTGTCTCGTTTCTTCCAAAGGAACACAGGAATGCATGTCTGGCACGGCGACTTCTGCCCACCGCCCCAGACCGGAAGTGTGTCCAGCGTGCCACCACCGCGACGTGACGTAGGAGAGTTGAGTTGGTGTATAGCTTAAATGCATTACTGTTTCGCTTTGTTAACTGTAACTAAGTAGCTCTTCCTGAAACTAAGTTTAAATGCAACAAATTACTTTTCAAAAGTAACTTGCCCAAGAACTTCCTTTGTAAACCTGTAAATGTTCTAGAAAACCGAATATGTATTTCGCTTGCACATAGCCTGTAGTACTCCCCTTGAAAAAGGATGAACACTCCCTACCAAACCTTTCCTGAATGCCCTCTTGGACTAGCTCCCGAGATTTATTTATATTTATATAATACAGCACTGAGAGCCATCAATAGGCCAAGCCACGAGTGGGCACAAATTGCAAAAAAACATATTGTAATAACACACAGTCGGACATTAAAACAGGGCTACCGTTCTCACCGGTTGCAGAGACGCCACAGTGCGAGGAAGCAGCAGAGCATGCTTGAAAGTGCCACCGACACCCCCACCGCCATTGGAAGCAGGATGTCATGCGATGTGCGATTCTCTTCAACTGCAATGCAACAACAGCGTCAGGGCAGCGGGTCACCCACCACGCTCGTTTTTTTGACCAGTCTCATTTCTACCCCGATGGGAATGTCAAAACAAAACACCAAGGGGCGCGAAGCTGGCAGAAGAATGTAAAGAGGGAGCTTCTGGTAAACCTCAGAACGGCGTGCCGACATTTCGCTGGGAGACCTCGCTACTTCCTGAAGAAGCTATGTCTCCTAGTGAAATGTCGGCACGCCGTTCTTGGGTTTACCCGAGCTCCCTTTCACATACCCTGAGGGAATGTGAAAGAATGCTAACAAAGAAGGAATATGACTCCCTTGTAAATTTCTTTTACTAAGATTGGTGCAACTACCCCGAAAAGAAGGGCACATCTTTTAAATATTGTGAGTTGTCATATCATAACTCCCTCAATGGAATTCACTGATAAAACTGCCCAGCATCACAAACAATTTTTGTTAGAGCAGTTGTTTCATCTCCAGCGATCAAAGATTTGTGCATGGTCGACTGAAAATATGGCACATGTTCTTTTGGTGGTTTCCTTTCTGGCAGTCAGCTGCAAACTGTGTTTAGAGGTTCATCCAGTGTAACCGAAATGGACACACAGAGCCCAGCATTGGGCTCTGTGTGTTATGAGGATTCAGCGAACGTCTGTTCTTGTTCCTAACTGATTCTACTGGACCTATAGTCGGTGACAGGTCAAGAACGAAGTGGAAGCTCCTCCCACCCCTTTCCCCTTCAGCAGAGCGCACGGTGGAGAGGAGGTCGACTCGTCTTTACCGTTCGCACTACTTAAAGGGACACTGACACCCCCCAAAATATTTTTTTTTCATATTCTGCCAGGCGATTTATTATGGTGTCAGAATACTATCCAATTAATATTTTGCCACAGAGTCACATATCTTTTTAATAAAGCCAAAAAACGCAACTGCTCAAAACCGAAACCCCTGCACCGCACGGAGAAGCGGAGAAGAGAGTGAGTGGCGGATGTCACGTGGCTACACCCAGCCGAACGTGCAATTTTTTTCTTTCTTCTTTCTAAGCGCGCAGCAGACGAAATGTATTGCGGGATCCATTCGCCGTGCGATTCCTCTGCAGTTATCTTTTTTTCGCTCGCTCTTTTGTACTTCAAGATGAGTTTTTTTGTACATTTAAATGTTGCCAATTAGTAGTGAGTGCCTGTGGTGAATTCCTATGATTGACTCCAAAAAGAATACTCCCAAAATGTTGGGTGAAGAGCTGCCTCACATGTCCTGCATCTGAAAGTGGCATTGTGCGGCAGAGGTGTCAAAAATGGAATCCCATACCATTTAGTTCAGCAATGTATCGTCCACAACAATTGTTTTTTTCAGTGATAATTGTAAAAAAAAAAAATTTAAACATAGCAAAATGTTTGGAAAAAAAAATGGTACATCCACACTCGGGATTGAACCCGTGCCCGCGGCGTGTGAAGCGGACGTCTTTCCACTGAGCTACAGGGAGAACTCCTGGTCCGTAGTAATGCAGCCGATCAACTGTATGTCAGAAAGTTTGCTGCCGATTTCGCTCCAGTACATGCACTCCCGGCTTGAAGTCGGGCAGCATCACGCATTGGCCAGATTCGCACCTAGTAAAGAAACCGCATGCGCGCGTATTCAACTCAAAGTATGCACTTTGTGCTTGACGTTTGAGCGAGCGACGTCTTCAGCCACGAGAAGGGACAACGGCTTCGCGACGTCTTCGTGCAATCGGCTTGCTGGTCGGGCGTGTCGTACGGGATGAATATCAATTCTTTTATCAGTCCAAAATTTCTCTTTCAAAGGAAGACAGAATTCGCCGGTACCGTAAACGACAGTTCTGAAGTACAGGTCCTACACCCGTCGTCCGTTACCACTTGCGAGTCCCACGAAACGCGAAATGACGCCATGTTGAGAATTATGCAGTGAACGCACAGAATGCTTCCAATTGTTCGTGCAACTTTTTTTTTTTTTTTTTTTCAATCAACATATTTGCAGCTTTTTGGAAACCACAAAACATGGGTTTCATTTTTTTTTTTTTTTTTTTCTTATTTTTAGTATTGACTATATGCCTTCAATGACCCACGACTTTGATTGAATTTGGTGGTCGTGTCTAAACCTTAGAAAACGGCCCGTGACCACGATAGAGTGAGCACGACTCAAACCGGCCAGTTCTCGATCGGAGGTTTTCGGGCAGAAAGAAACCGAATTTCGAGCCGCAAATTCTGTTCCGAGTAGTTGGGCTCTCATATGTCATGTACAATTAAAAACCTCGGCGAGCATAAATACCCTGTCAGTGTCCCTTTAAGTGGAAAGGGGTGGGAGGAGCTTCCACTTGTTCTTGACTTGTCACCGACTATAAGCATTCTAAAAATCTGAAAACTACAATCACGCACATTAATCTCCCTAGCAAAAACGTGATGAAAGGTCGGGACACACCACTTCCTGAGCGGATTTTTCCACTCAAGGAAGGTCTTTCAAAGGAAAAATCTTTTCTTTTATTTTTTAAAAGAAAAGCAGACTCTTTTATACCTTCTTTCCTTCAAAGGCTCTTCACCCTTTTCACTGCGATGCATCCGCGGTGCAATGGCACATCAGCCAAATCCACATCGCCTATTGGATCAGAGCCTACCTCACCAGCACCGCGATCATAAACATTAATTTCATGGCGAATGCGTCTAAAAAGTTTTGTTAAAGAATATTCTGGTCCACAATAGCGATGCGACGGAAATTGCCGGATTTTATATTGTTTGGAACGATACGCCATCTATCATATGGTAAACGAAGCAAGAAAGAGATCAGACTACGCCTGCGCATAGCCGCCTGTCTGCTGAAAACATGGCGTCGTCGGTGGTGGTGATCGACGTGGTGGAAGCTCATCGTTCTGCACAGAGCGCTATCCTTGACTAACTTCTCGTCCCGTGTCGCCGTCATAACCCAGCACGTCCTAGAAGAAAACATCCACCTACTCGTGCAGTGATGTTGTGGCAGCACCCTCAAGACAGCACAAACGCTCGTGCCGTCGTCTTTGTTTACTTTGGCTACAGTGGTGCTTTCTTAGCATTTGTGTCCTCGAACATCGCCCAGATTTCTTATTTTGCGCATTCCATGCATGGGATCAAGTTCAAGATATTACTGGTGCGTACTTTATTTAAAGGCGTGTATGAAGGATGCGAATTTTGACATATTTTCATCACCCAAAAAAAGTGATTAGTGTTTGCATTCCTTGAACGATCACAACGTCTATGTGATTACTAAATCATATTTCTACATTGCTATTTCTCTGCTAAGATTACACTGTCTTTCGCAATCGTAGAAAAGGTGTGTGGTGAGATTTGTACCATCAGTAAAGTTGTGATCGTCTAAGACGGCGTACTGCACCTTTTCCTATTCTTTTTTTGTATCCACTTTGCCCTGCGAGCCTAGCCTGACCAAATAAAAGTTAATAAAGCTTAAGCCTATAGAAAACTCTGTACATTTTCTACTACACACGTGAGTGGCAGTGCGAACCCTTCTTTTTAGAGATAACACCGAAACGGCCGACTGCGGCGGAGAAGCGGCTGCCGTGCTGACGACCTGCTGCGCTTCGTACCGGCGTATGGGACGAGTCCCATGCTGTTGCTGTAGTGCAAAATATCTAATTGAATTTCACTCAGCAGCGACGTGTCCATGACTATCGACATTATGAGAGGCACCAATTTAGAAAATATGTTGGTGGCATCGGCGCCAACAACCCTGTGGTAAAACCTAGCAGCCCACCGCCAGCTCGTCGATAGCGCTCACATTCTCCTGCTGCCGAGAAAACTTCCGGTTCCGGTGACAGAGCATGTCTTGATCGTCAAAATTACGCCGCGGCTTGTTTTGCAGTGAGTTGAAGAAAGAAAAACTCAATATTTCAATAATTTTTCGTCTAGAAGTTAATAAAACGAAACGAAAACGGATGCCTGATTAGCAATCAGTGAACATTGAAGGTTTAATGTAAAAGTTATTTGGCAAATGTAAAAAGGTCATTTCATGGTCCCTTTAAGCATTTTTATGGCTTCTTCTCAAATGAAGGGTGGAAAGGGTGGAGGCTTACTTGGTTCACACTCCTGACGGTCCGCATCGAAAATAAAACCGTCGTGGCACTCGCAGCGGCTCTGTGAGGAAGTGAGCGAGCAGTACATGTTCTTGTCGTGCATGGCGCATTCCTTTGTATCCGTGCAGTATTCTAGGTGGCGCCGATCTAACAGGAATAGACGGCAAAGGTGACAACATGATGATAAGGCCCTCAAAAAATAAATGCAGAGAAAAAAAAAAAAGAATCCCATCAACATAAGGAAAAAATAGCACCTGCCTTGCTCTCAAGACTTCCTCCCGTCCATTTTGTACACTTTTTTCCATTACGTTGATAAATCACCAACTACGCCAGCAATCCACTATTTTACGAGAATACTATGTTCGAGCCAGATGAAGCAGAAACAGACATGCACGTGTTTGACAGAAGGCAAAGAAATATGACAGGCAATGTAGAGCTACCAGATGAATCATCCTTTCTTGCGGGACAGTGTGCTATCTCCTTTATCTCCTTGACAGAAGTTGAAAGGAGTTGTACACTGTGCCCACAGGAAGAAGCAGCTGTCTGTTAAAAGTTGTTTATATCTGTTATTTTTCTACGTCCACTGTCAGCTTCGTCACATTCTTTCAATAAAGATGTTTAACCGTATCCGCGAGAAAATCTGCAAAAAGCGGAAGGGAATAATACAGACGAGATGCAAGAAGTGCGCCATGTCTCGTTCAAAATAAACCCGCAGGCGTTTTTTTTCTTCTTCTTTTTTTACATTTGCTTTACGTTGTTTTTGTATGACTAGCGTTGTTGCTAGTCCTTGTAAGATATATGCGAGCCTTCTCACCTTTTGCACACTTGTTGTCTGATATTTGGATGGGATAATCAGGGTTGCACCTACAAATGTTGTCATTATCACAAGAGGCATGCCTTACGAAGCATATTCTCGCGAAGTTACATTTCTTTCCTATGTGCGATGAACCTGCAAAAAAGATGCGATTAAAAAAGAAAAGCATAGGTGTTACGAAACGAACAAACATTTGCATTGCGACGAACTTCAGAAGCATCACGAATATTCAAAGAAAAAGCTTCGCCTACTGGAGAACGGTAAACAAATGACGCAAAAACGGGTTATCTCCTCTTTGGTACAGTAGGCGAGCCATGTAAGGGGGGAAAAAAATTCATCATTTTCAGTTTTGGACGTTTTTTGAGAGCGCAAACATAGCGTTATAAAGGTGCGTAAAGAGCCCCCGGCTCAGCAACACTTCCTTTGACTTCCTTACTCTCAAAACTCTGACTGACTGACTGATGCCCGCGGTGTACTTCAACTGTTCCCAAGCCGTTGCCAATAGCGTATCTATTTTTTTGGGGGGTTAGCATTTTTATTGGCTTACTTTATTGCCCACGTCCAGCAGAGGTCATCTTCTCTTTATTTAACTGTCACCAATCAGAAAAACGATCGACACGAAAAATTCGATCGCTATATTAATCGTTTTTGAAGTTACATAACAATCGCAGTCATGTCCTGTACACCCGTGTTCGAGCCGCGACCACTTTAGGACTGTGTTCAAACATCGACGGAGTCGCTCGGTGAATAACAAGCAGTTCCTTATCACCATAATCTCCCTATCACTTCCCGTCCGCCCGATTAAAATGCGCTGTTGCTCCTTCAAACATCGCATGCCGCGGCTGGTGTAAGTATGTAAACAAGAAAGTGCGATTGCTCCCGCCGAGAAAAAAGTTCGCAGGGGCAATCGACGCCAGGATCGGAACCGCGTAAAGCTCTCGCCGTACTCACTATGTCCCAGGAGCAGAAATAACGTAAGCAGGCCGTAAAAACGTCCACAACATTCGTACATCTCGTCATGAAGGATGTGCACAAAATAACTATTATTGCGCAACCGCGCAAAATAAAAATGACGGGCAAACACAAGAAAATGACGTCACTCTCGCGGCAACGCTAGTGCTACCTGGGGGACATGACTGACGTTGGGAGCTAAAGATTAAACTTTTTAAGTGCTTTGTTCCCAAGAACTCAACTGATATTCTTTTTCAATTTTAGTAAACAAAAGTGGCGGTAGAAATAGTTTTGTTAATAACTCGTGCTGAAAAATTTTGATGACAAACGGAAACAGGGAGTTGGTCAAAACTTCCGGTTCTCCACAGATACTGCGATACCGCCATCGAAATGGTGGTGTAACCAATCTGGGCATCCTTTTAATTTTAGGCTTATACTGACATAAGACGCAATGAGTAACAACACCGCCCTTCAGAAAGCCATCGACCTGGTCACGAAGGCCACCGAAGAGGACAAGAACAAGAACTACGCCGAGGCACTGCGCCTGTACGAGCACGCAGTCGAGTACTTTCTCCATGCGATCAGGTACGAAGCCCAGACGGACCGGGCCAAGGAAAGCATCCGGTCGAAATGCGTCCAGTACTTGGACCGGGCCGAGAAGCTCAAGGAATACCTGCGCGGCAAGAGCAAGGAGAAGAAGCCCGTCAAGCAGGGCGAGAGCGACGGTAAGAAGGATGGCGACAACAGTTCAGACAGCGACGACGAGAACCCAGAGAAGAAGAAGCTTATGAACCAGCTCGAAGGCGCGATCGTGATGGAGAAGCCCAACATCAAGTGGTCGGACGTGGCCGGCCTGCACGCCGCCAAGGAGGCCCTCAAGGAGGCCGTCATCCTGCCCATCAAGTTCCCGCACCTGTTCACGGGCAAGCGCAAGCCCTGGAAGGGTATCCTGCTGTTCGGGCCCCCCGGTACGGGTAAGTCGTACCTGGCCAAGGCAGTGGCCACGGAGGCCAATAACTCGACCTTCTTCTCCGTGTCGTCGTCGCATCTGGTGTCTAAGTGGCTGGGCGAGAGCGAGAAGTTGGTGCGCAACCTGTTTGACATGGCGCGCAACCAGAAGCCCAGCATCATCTTCATCGACGAGATCGACTCGCTGTGCAGCTCGCGGTCGGACAACGAGAACGACGCCACCCGGCGCATCAAGACGGAGTTCCTGGTGCAGATGCAGGGCGTGGGCAACGACACCGAAGGCATCCTCGTCCTAGGGGCCACCAACATCCCCTGGGTGCTCGACTCGGCAATCCGGAGGCGCTTCGAGAAGCGCATCTACATTCCGCTGCCCGACGAGGCTGCGCGGTTGCACATGTTCAAGGTGAGTCATGTTCAAAGCACCCCACGGGGGGAGACGGGCTGTCACCCCTCACTAAAGTGACTTCGTCTCACTGTGCTTGGGAATGTGTGTCAAGCACATCACCAATAGGGCTGTGTTTACAGATGTCCTTTTGTTAGCCGTATTTGTCCCTGAATGGCAAACGTGTGCTGACAGTGAGCGTGTAGGATCCACGTTTTCACTTCAGCAAAATGGTTGCCGTGTGCTGGTAACACAACATAACAGACCAATCTTATGCCAACACAGCCCTCATTCCTCAAGAACAAGCATCACTACAGCAGTGAGGAGGTAGGCACACATCTAGATGTGTAGCATCATATAAATCCAAGATTGAAGCGCAAATGGTGCCAAAGACAGAATGCAATCTAGGTGTCTACCTTATCTCTTGTTTACTCTCCGAGTCTCCAGCATATAATCTCTCATGTGTTTCTATCCCACTGTCAGTTGACAAAAAGTAGTAAGTAGCTTTTCACCCACTGCCTGCCGACCATTTCATTTGCCGCTACTTTGTTAAATAAGAGGCACACCGGTCCATAAATGCTGTGTGTCTTGAGGAGTTTATCCAGCCACTGAATGGCTTCGAGGAAAATTTCCCTTCACACTCTCGTTTGAGGAGAGGCAGAAGGTTTTACAGAAAGTTGCACCGGGAACGACAAGTGCCACATGAAAGATGGGGCCATGCCCCTCCGCTTGCCTAGACTCGATTCTCGAGCCCTTGTTCCGTTCGCAGCTGCACATTGGCAACACGCCGCACACGATGGAGGAGAAGGACTTCAAGGAGCTGGCCAAGCGCAGCGAAGGCTTCAGCGGTGCCGACATCTCGGTGCTGGTGCGGGACGCCCTGATGCAACCCGTGCGCAAGGTGCAGACGGCGACTCACTTCCGGCGGGTGCGGGGCCCCTCCCGTAGCGACCCCAGCGTCATGGTGGACGACCTGCTCACGCCGTGCTCCCCGGGCAGCCCCGGCGCCATCGAGATGTCCTGGATGGATGTGCCGGGAGACAAGCTGCTCGAGCCGGTGGTCACCCACAGCGACATGCTGCTGTCCCTGGCCACGGCCAAGCCCACCGTCAACGACGCTGACTTGGACAAGCTGCGGAAATTCATGGACGACTTCGGCCAGGAAGGCTAGCTGGGCGGGTCTTTGCAATCAGACGGGGCGAGGGTGTTCAAGACCGACGCTTTGAGCCGTCCTTGCTGTATTTGGCGGCACGCTGGAAGCACCACTCGGTTTTTGTGCCTGGAGTGCGAGTGCTTGGCGAGACACACGCGGCTTTGCATCGACGTAGGAATGGCTTTAGCGGAGGTTGAGTTTCGAATCGAGAGAATGCCACTTCCTTTATTTGAAATGGGCTCTGCACCTGGGCGGTAAAGGCGGGGCGCCGCATTCCCTGCCGATTCTGTTCGGTTCATGTTCTACCGCAGAAGTGTTACACTCCCTTCCATTATATTTTTTTTTTTTTTTTAATGAGGCTTATCTTTAGCAATGTTAGCAAGCAAATGCGCATCTAATAAAAGATGGAGCGAGGGTTGGTTTCTCTGGTATGTCGCCAAACATTTCCACGTTGCAGAGCAACTCGGTACTTTGGCTGGCAATATTATGTGGAAGCTTTCTGGCAATTTTTGTTCTGTAAATTTCAGGACAACTTAGTTTGCGTTGATGTGGTTACAATGTCTGCAGCGTAGGCAGATCCTAGGAAAATGCTTTACGTGATTTTTAGAAACGGTCGCTGGTCTTAGCTTTCTTAATGAACGATAAAATTGCCTACTATATATAATTGCAAAACTCGGGTATGCGAACGTGCTCACCTTGCTAACAAGTTAGCAAACCCCATGCTCCAAAATTCAAGGGCTTGTTGTCTATGTTAGAGCCTTCGAAGTAAGCCTTGTGCAGAATGCCCGTACAAAGAGTTTGTTCTCGATGACCGTCGTTATGTTCAGTGCAGGACTTTGGGCACCTTCTTGAGCAGTGTGTACCATGTGTGCTAACATATTTCGGAGCTCTTCTAAACCGTACACATCTAAAACATAGATTATATCTATTTCTTAGGTTGGCGGTATTGAGCAAAATCGGATAAGAGCTTGAAGGAATGTTTCACTCCCATTCTCTTCTGTGCTTTGTGAATAAAGATGATATGTATCATACTATCCAAAGTTAGATCTAATGTTGCATGTGATTGATTCTCAGGTTTGATTTGCTCACTTGTTTTGGGAGTCTGCTCCCAGCAGCTAGGTGCCATTATTCGCAACACTGATGGAAAGGTAATAATTGGAATTGCCTGCCTCGAAAAATTGTTTGACAGGCTGGTTGTCAACACAAAGCTACGTTGTGTGGCATTGACCTTAGGCTCACTTCAGACGAGGCCATTCTTCCCAGCACCTTGACGTTGCAACTCCTGCGGTACGCTTCCGCATTTTTTAATATCTTTAAGTGGTATTCAGAATGCCATGATCTCCTTGAAATCATTTAGTTACGAAAACAATCCCTTTCAAACCAGAACAGGTTAAAGTATGTATTCAGTTATCGTCATCACCACCAAAGAGGAGGTCACATGAAAATATTGCAACCCCTACTGGCTGCTGCCTCTTTAAATGTCTCCGAGTTGTCGGAGTGACTGGCCCATTTCGAGCTGAACCCGAACCTTGCAGTTCATGTTTTTGCGCGGGGATCTAGGGAACAATTCGCCAAAAACCCTGAAATGGCTGGGAAAATTGCCCCATCTCAAGCGGGTGTTAGGTGTTGGCACCATGGTGTGCAATTCATTGCCACTTCTATAGAGCCTAGATCTAAATGCCTGTTCACATGCTTGAGACTTCTTGGAACAGAGTGCCTTGAAACCCCTTAAAATCTCCTACAACGAGAGGACACACTGGCACCACCTATCGGGTAGCAGTGAAACACCAGGGGTCCCGTGTATTTTAAATTTCTTTCACGCATCATTCTTTCTTGGCTTGAAAAACTTTTGTCAATGTTATAAACAAACATTCCTCATATGTAGTATGCACACTTGACCTCGCAAATACCGCCAAGCCTTCGTTCTAGTGCCGTGCAGTTCCAGGGTCACCTCATAGATGGCACCAGCCTGTCGGTGTGTTCTTCAGTCGTAAGAGGTTTTAAGGCACTTGGTTCTAAGGAGTCGCAAGTGTGTGAACGGGCCTTAAAGGCCCGTTCACACTCTTGCGACTGATTACGACTGAGAGAGACGAGATCTCTTAAAACTTCTTAAATGTTTTTAGAATGAGGGAACACACTGGCATTGTGGCGCCATCTATGCGGTGACCCTGGAACTGCATTTCACAAGAGCGAAGCTTTTGCGGGATTTCCGAAGTCAAATGTGCGTAATACCCATAGAAAGGCTCATTTATAACATTGACAAAAGTTTTTCGAGCCAAGAAAGAAAGGATAATGCGCGAGAAATAAAAAAAATATGCCGGACCGCCGAGTTTACGCTGCTTCCCAATAGATGGCGCCAGTGTGTTCTCTGGTTTAAGAAGTTTGAAGGAACCCAGGTTTAAGAGGTCGCAAGAGTGTGAACGGGCCTTAAGAGGGGGAGCATGAAGAGCATCCGCAGACACCTCGTGGGCAGATTGGCCGCAAGTGCGCATGCTGTGCGTTGTCCATGAGTGAGGGGTAAAGTGGGCGGAGACGCAGAGAATGAATGCTTTAGTCGCCTCGGAAACGCAGCCCATAAACCCCACTAGCTCGATGGAGCAGTTGTAAACAATGAAAACTAATTGTACTAGCTGCCTATTGGGAAGCAGACACCGTTCAACTGAGCTTTCGACCACACATTAAAAAATCCTTGGGTGGTCGAAATTATTCCTGTTTTCCGCAGGAATGTACCAAATGCCTTTTTATTGGCACGGCGTGTAAACTTGCAAAAATTTCTTTTAGTTTACTTTTATCTGAGCAAGTGCATTTGCATTGGTCAGAATTGAAGTAGCAGGGAAGTACCTTTGTGGATTAGCTTCACTGTGCTCTCTGGGTTGAATTCCCCCAGGTTTGACCTGGTTCGTTTGCTCCAGTCAACTGCGCATCATATTACATGTAACATTTGTTACGCTGCCCATTGGTCACCCTGGCTTGCACTTGTGACACTCGACAGTGAGTGGGCATGCCCATGTGCCCCGACTTTCATTTTTTTATACCATGGCTAATCTGAAGCCAGATATAACAGATCTCCCCACCTTAGTGACAATCAGCATATCAATGAGGAGAACATCTTGGGCATAGAGATGCTGGATGATGCTGGATCGATGCGCAAGTTGGGATGTGTAGCCATCCCTGGGCCTGGTGGTAATCAGCTCATCAAACAATGTTTCATCGACAGATTGTTTCGTTGACACTGCAATGTTTTATCGAAAGGCGCCTGCATTTGTTATATCGACCGATTTTGTGATGTTTCGTCAACAGCTTCCAATGCACACTGCCTTAGCCACCTTCTTGTTTCCGGGATCCCCCAATGAACTAGCCTAGCTTGCAAAACCCTTGACAGTTCCCACGAGGTGTGCCGTAAGCTTGATCCGGAGATTAAAATTAATCTTCCCTGATTGGAGCGAAGTGAGGGGTGACCGTTGCTTCGCTTGCTGAACACGCCTCCTTCAGGGCTCGTGGATTTGTTTTTGCCATGTCGGAGCCGCATGGCATACGTCCATTAAGCGAAATGAAACCAGCAATCTAGTCCACCCGACGGGAAACCTATTTTGTCCATGAAAAGTCGCTAAAGCATGCGATTCATGAAATGAGTTTCCGTGATACGCAAGTGTTGATAAAAGTTGCGTCAAATGAAACGTGGTTCACAAAACATGTTTTGACGGAACGACACGGACTCTTTCGAGTCTGACAGATTTTATTTAAAGTTTGCTATCGCTAAGCTCATCATATATGGTAATAGTTCACTGTAGCTTAAAACCTTAAGCCAGCGTCACAGCATTGTCATCCAAACACACTTCGGAAACCGGATGTTCTATTTTTTTAGGGTGCAGCTCTTGGGCACCTGTTTCCAGGTTTCGCGGCATCGCCGTCGGTGTAGTCGCGCTAAATTTAGCGGAAAAATTGGCGTCATGTGACCTCAACACCAATTCAATTCCCTGTTAAATTTAGCGCGGCAAAGGACGTCATATGACTTGGTGTCACATCACCTATGAACAAATTCAGTTTCTCTGCTAGATTTAGCGGGAAAATTGACCTCACATGACATCAACACCAATTAGGTTCCCTGCTACATTTAGTGGGGAAACTGACATCAAGTGATCTCAGCACCAATTCAGTTTCCCCGCTAAAATGAGCGGGGAAAATGACGTCACATGACTTGATGTCACGTCACCTATGAACGAATTCAGTTTCTCTGCCAGATTTAGCCGGAAAATTGACGTCACGTGACCTCAACAGCAATTCAATTCCCCGCTAAATTTAGCGGAAAAATTGACGTCACGTGAAATGCAGTTTTTCCGCTAAGTTTAGCGGGGAAAATGACGTCACATGACTTGATGTCACGTCACCTATATAACAGTCCAGTTTCTCCGCTAGATTTAGTGGGAAAATTGACGTCACGTGACCTCAACACTAATTCAGTTTCCCTGCTAAAATTAGCGGGGAACTGAATTTCTGTTGAGGTCACGTGACGTCAATTTTCCCGCTAAATCTAGCGGAGAAACTGGATTCTTTCATAGGTGACGAGACATTTTTCGGAGCGAATTGAGATCTTCTTGATGAGGGTTGGCTATGGAGCTAGATTTGAAACGTAGGTGGGCAGGTGCCTGGATCATATCGGGGGAAAGGTTTTGACCCCAAAAGCCCCCCTCTGCCTATGCCACTGATCCAAATAAGTGCAAATACCCTGTACATCAGCTAACATTGTTCCCTATGTGTGCTGGAAAACTGCTCACATCACTGATATTCCAAAAGGCCAGCACTCTATAAGCTTTTTATGACATTTATTTTCTGAACTGCTGCTGTGGCTCTAATCAATTGCAACTGTTGTTGGGCTTGGCACACATACCCGTCGTCAAGTGGTTCCCCCTCAGGTTTACCAGAACTTCTGTAGTTGATAGCTGCCTCACTACTTCTGTAGTCTCCACAGAGTTTTATTTTGCCACTTTTTTTTGTGTTGGAGGACTAAGTAAGAGTCTTAGCCCCATTCAAATTGTTGTGTACTGCCTCAAGAGACCCGTTTCTAAAGTCATGAGCATATTGTTAGAAAGTCGGAACCACTGCATACTGGTGGAACAAGCGACTCCACAGAATGTCGAAGTCATTACATAAGATGGCAATGAAATGGAAGCACAGTGCAATCCACTTATAACGATAATGAGAAAACCCCAAAATTCAATTGTTTTAACCAATTATTGTGTCTGGACTAGAAACTGAGCGTTTCTAATTTAGAAACTCTAAAACCTGATTGTTATAACCGGTACATCATTATATGTGGTATCGTTATAAGTGGATTGCACTGTACTAGCATTTCTATACTTTGTTTCACTGTATGTCGGAGCATAGCCAGCGCTAGGCTTTCAGCCTAACATTGCCACTCAAACAGCACCAAAAGTGCAACGTCACTGTGTAGTTCATCCCTTTTTCTATAGGCGTGTTATTGCGTTATAATCTAACCAAATGAAGGAAGTGTGCCATATGAAGTAACGGTTTTAGTTTATCTGTTTGCGTGTCTTCTAGCCTTTGACTGTGCTCTGACATACCGTGGGCGTCCACCCTTGGCAGTGTCTTTTGTGTCCACCACTGTGCAGGGCTCTTGCGTGACTGCTGGCCTACTGCTAGAGGGGTGAATCGAGTGTTGCAGCATTCTACGTCTGACCGCAGCGGATGCTACAAGCCATCCCAGTCGATCCAACTCTGTGAACTTCGTTCATGATACAATATCTCCGCGTTTCTGTGCCCCCTCTCCCAAGGTCACGTAACACTCACACGGCCTTGAATCGGCTCCGATTGCTTGTAGCATCCGCTGCGGTCAGTCTTATGGTGAAACGAAGTATAGACCAACTCATGTTTATAAACAAACCGGAGCGCCCCTACCGGACACCACCGGCGCCGCACGTGCGCGATTGAGTGTGATTAAGAAGCTCGCCGTCGCCCGTAAACAAACCATTGGAATGCAATGTTGTCGGCATCGGTGCGAGTTTTCGTGTTCTTTTTCGTGTTGG